CACATGTTAGAAATTCTGCCCGGTCTTCAAGTGTTTTTTCTTTGTGGTAAAAATAAGTTCTACTTTATATAGCGCTTCTATGTATTATTAGCGGTTTTTACAGTTTTATGCTAATTACACCTTATTTGCACTCCGGAGGTTTTAAAAGCGCATCTTCATGTGCCGTTTGTAAACGTTTTATATACAATTTATGTATAGTAGATTGCAACAAATTATTTTGTATTCGCACAACGTGGTTTTTTAGGTATGTTTAGGCATTTCTAAATAGTTTGAGCCGAATTATATTGTTTTTACCTTCCGGGGACGGCTACCATCTAATACTCAAAATTAATACTTTCTGAAAATTACCAGTTTTGTACGGTAAAAATGACCTAACCCGCCCACTCTTCCATCCTCTCGTACTTCTCTTTAAAAACCACCTTCCTTACCAGAAAGCAATCGCCTTAACTGCTGTTTTTGTCTGTTGATTCCCCAGAATGAAAATCGAGCGCAAACAGTTCAGCCGTCCCATTCCCCCCAACTGCATAGCAGTGGCCCACGTGACCACGAAGGCTGCAGGACTGGCGCCAGCACTGTTTTCCAATAGAAAGAGAGGAAAAGACTGACTAGTAGAGGAAGGAGAGGGGAGGAGGGTTGAGCCTCTATTTGAGAAGCGGATCCTCCACGTCAATCACTCCTCAGTTCCCCCCGAAAACTGCGCGGTTTCCGATTGCTAGTGATTGGGGTGGGTTTGGGGGGTTGGGATTTGACCCAATGGTGACCATTGCACTCAAAGTGGTTGATGGTGTGACGCAGTTTGCTAGGGTTTTTAGTGTCGAAAAAAGTTACATTACTCCGGACTAAAAATAGAGGGGTTAGTAAGTTTTTTGAATGCAGGATAGAGGGCAAGATATTACGCGTAGCAATACGTATCGAACTGAGTAGATACGTACCTTGCACAGCTGGCGGCATGGTCATCTACATCCTATAAAGACGGTTTTCTTGCCTTGGTATCCAAGGCCAGCTGCTTGTTTCAGTAGATACGTTTCTACTGTACCGTTTAGCTTTCAGCTGGCTTACCGAATTTCTTGCCAGCATCATCAACTACGCGCTGCAATAACTGTTTTATTTTGCTAGACGCCGGCGGTTCTCTTATTTCAGCCAATCCGTTCGGCTGATAACCAGCTGGCGATTTCAGCTGGTTACGCAATTCCTTGCAGGCATGATCATCTACCTGCTGTAAAACCGTCTTTTTTTTCGCAATTCTTCTCTACCGGCCGGCCCCTTATTTAAAATCATTTCATCTTGCTACGCAAATTCCTCCTAGACATATTCATCCTTACGCCCCGCAGTACAATGTTTTCCCCATCCAACTTGCCTCCCGCTTTTTGCAGACAGATTATAGAAAACTCGCGAACCGCCCGGTAGCTAATCCCCTCCTGTCCGCCCCGTCCAGCTCCAAAACCACTGCCCCGGCGACAATGAACGAAATTGGGCGTTCGGCTCGCGTTCCGCAATCTCTGTTTGCAATTTCGGGCCCATCGGCGGGATAGCTGGGTGGATTCGGAGGCCTTGCGCCTCCGGTTTAATGTCAACGGAAATGAGCAGGCATTTTAAAGCGCTACCCAACCCGCTTTTCACTCCGCCAATCTCCGGTAATTATTCTCTTAGTCTGGCCAAAATCGAGCTAAGTAAGCTTTTGGAGTTGTATAAAAATAGCAAGATTTAGAGATAGGAGGTCATCTGACCATTTTTAGCTGAAAAATTCTTTCCATTTCACACGCGTCACTTGAAAATATTTCGACCATGAGGTGTCACGGTCCATTGCCCGGGCGTTACCAATTTTGTGGGCCAAAGAACTCCTTGGTCTCGCTTTTCTAAGTGCTTCCGGAACGCGCCTTCTTCCTGAATTTTCTAAACATCACCGAGAAGGACTTTAATCCCCAATAAGTTCCAATATTTTGAAATCTTTTGTCCTACCCTATCGTTTCACGAGGCCATTAAAAATTGCGTTCTCTGCAACACGGGAGCGCTTATCAGCTAGGAATTTTCTAGAAAGCACGCAACAAACAGAAACGCCAACATGGATGATGCATCATCTTAACTTCTGGGACCAAGAGGCCAGAAAAGTCACGAGGCCTATGAAAACAGCTATAAAACACAGATGTTCGCCATTATTGAGCCAGATTGTCGCCCGTTGTCCAGTTTAATGGTTCCGAATTTTCGTCAATGTTTAAGTATAAAACTTGAGGTTGTTTCGGGTTTTCAGGTGTAGAGTTGGATATCGTTTTTAAGATAAAAGTAAAAAACTTGTCAATTGTTGCTTTATTGCGTTTCGAAATTTCGCGACATTTTATTTATTGTTGTTTGTTTCCTTTTTCTCTTTCTCTTCTCTCTAACGATATGACCTTGAAGACGTCTCACCCCCCTCCTAGCAGCTGATGTCACGAAAAACCAGTCCCTTGCGCAATGCATGATTCGTTTGGGTCCAAAATAACATCCCCCTGACGAGTCATCGCACAGTCCCCTCTCATACTTGTACAACTTTTCCGGCGACCTACAAGTTGTGGAAGAGCTATTTTTGAACTTCCACTCCCGCCCCACCCTCACTTCACTCAAACATCTACTCACGAGGTTCGGATGAAAACGAATGGGGCGAGAGGGGGGAGGGGGACACTTGGACAGCTATTTTCGTGTCCACCCCAAAGACAAACTACCCATCGCAAAGCCGAGACGGGGTGGACACCCGAGAAATATCACATCACTTGGCCCGTGGCCCCGGGAATCGTGCTTCTACTCGCAAATTGTCGGAAGGCCGGAGGGGACGGGCATTCTGGACGAGAGCGTGAGAGAGCGAGAGAGAGCGAGAGAGATAGAGAGAATGCCATGGCCATTCCGAGCTTTTAGCATAGAACAGAGGCCATAAACGGGAGGCATTCGATAACAGCACGTATCCAGGATGAATATGAATGAATCAGTTACGCTCCAATACATTTATTGTTTTGCTTCTACTGTACTTTATTTTAATCCGAACTACAATCAAGGTAAAATAAAATTTCACATTTTATTTGACCACCTTTATAAGAATTTGAATCCATTTCTAAATATTTATTATTAGCGTACATTTGCACGCGATCTATTTTCTTTAATTGTTTACGTAATGAACCTTCCTAGCAATTTATATTACCAGCATTTAAAAAATTTTGGGCTGCCTAGCGCTATTCGTAATCTATTAATGTGCAAATTTTCAAACCGTTTGCCCTGACCTCTAAATTCACACCCACTCAAAAATTCTTCAATTTCACAACCCATTTTCTGATTTGTGTACCCCCCCCCACATCTCCTAGACATCGCAGCCCCTGAACGTTTAGCTGCCCCAATCCAGCATTGTCCCGTTGTGCGCGTGTAGGCGTGGGAAATTGTGCACCTCCACCTCGAGCACCAATAATCGCCCTACCACCCCCATTCCTCTAAAGAAACACTACTAATACTTTAACGGCCCACGGAACTCTGGTATTTTCATGCTTTGTTAGTCAGCCTAGAACCGGCACGCCCGGTATTTCGCCGATTGTTTGCCTCTTTACGGCTGAGTTTTGTCTTTTTTGCTGTACGCTTTTTAATGGCTGATAAGCCCTCATGAGTCAAGTTATACGGCTTTTTCGGGATGGCCGTTAGCCGCTTGTTTTCGGGGATCGCACACCGCGCCTCGGGCTCATTTTGCTATGCGTGTTCTAGTGGTCATTAGGGGGAGAGGAGTTAAAGGCATAAACAGCTGGTATATTATGGTATTTTACATGTGTATTCATTTATATACTTTAATCTTATATACTCTACACTATGTACTTTATATTGCCTACACTAGCTTCCGAAGTGGTGCAAATACACTTACTTGCATGCTTCAACGATTTGAATTGTATCTCAAGACCTTAACTTTCTGCCCAAAAATTTTCTCTTTGAAGCCCGTCCGGTGCTCCTGCCCCAATAAATACCGTACCCATACAATTCAGCAAAATTCTTTCACCATTGTTCCCCCGCCTAGCAAAGCGACGCCCCCGTCCCTTCAAATATGCATGAGAAACATTATTCCACCCTTTCCACAACTTACCACCCCATGGCCTTTCACCTCTCTAACTTCCAAAATCCTAGTAACCATCCATCCGCCTAGAAACAACCCTCCCAGTTGACCCTTTCCTTCTTTCCTTCTTTCCCAAATCTCGACGTCCATTTGCCAGAAGAGCGATGGGCCTGACGGGGGGAGTAGACAGCAGAAGAGAAGAGCTCTCGTCTAGTGTTGAGAGGGAGCGGAGCCTAGCGACGGCGCGAACAGAGAAATAGCATGAAAGACGACCAAAAAAGGGGCCCTGAGGGGATATCGGTTTTCTGGGAGACAGAAGCGAGGGGCCAGAAGAGGTGCGGGGGAATTGGAGGGGGCCCTGAGCGCTGGCTTTCGTTTAGGGAACGGGGGCTGGAGGAGAGTGGGTCCTGGGGCGAAATATTGGGAGAAGAGGGAGGGGCGCAGAATAGGAGGCCTGGGGGAGCATCGCCATGCATAGCCAGCCCGCCCCCCTTCAACAAGATGGACAACATGCCCCGGCTGCTCATTCTTTCCCACCAGTTGTGGGGGAGTACGGAGGATGAGCATCGTTCTCCGCGTTTTTTGAAGTTTATCATGTATTTTGCTGGTTTGGAAGATGTACGGGGATTCTTTGGACTACCATAATCCTTAGATCATAAATCATTTTTTTGAAAAGTGTTTCTGATATTTCCAAAAAATATAATATTTAAAGGTTTCTTATCTCATTCCATGTTTTCATCGAATTGAAGACCAATATATTTCGAACTCATGCTCCAAATGCACCAAAGTTGCCCTTTTCATCGGCTATTTTCGAGTGTCCTCCCTAGTCGAGACGCGCTCTTTTACTGGCCCCTCAAATTTTAATTTACTCGTTCGTTTTCCTTTTATTTTCTTGCGTTTTCTCTTTTTGAACTTTAATTATCTTTTATATCTTTAATTTTCAGAAATGCTTGCACCAATCATAACAAAAGATATGGACTTGTTCCCAAAGCGGAACCTAAACGGTATCAAGAACGTTCGCTCCAGGGCCCAAAGCCTTACCCAGGTATCGGAACTAAAACTTATGTTGACTTTCCAAATTTAGGTCTCCCAGTCGAGAACGCAAAGTCTTCGTGTTCGAGTGGCTCCAGCGAGGCCCCGCACGTCCCAATCCGTGGGAAACCTACCAACGGCCGGAAGAAGCCCTCCGAAGGTAATTCTACTCTCTTCACCATTCAAAATTTTAAAAGTTTCCTTTTCCTTAACATATATATTCTTTGACTCTTTAGCTAACCGCATCCCGTAAAACGACCCTCAATCCCATCGAGGAAGGTGTCGAATGGAGAAGTGACGATAAGCCGGCTACAGCATCCGCCGGTTGTCTACCCGATGAGGCACAGGTGAAAATTTTAATTAATTTCTAGTGAAAAATCAACTGCTCGCGGCTGCCAAAAACTATAATTATTTTTAGCTTCGTATCCAACAGCTGCGTGGTCTCCAGGGGAGTCCGGATGGGAATCTGCATGAGGGAAAGGAGAATAATGAGGAGCCGAAGGGAAAGAATGAGAAGGTAGATAAATACGCTTCAATTTGAAAGGATTTCAGTATTTCCAGGATGGGAAGAAAAATCGGGTGATGCGCTGGATAACGAATGCGTTTCGATCGAGGTCGCGGAGTGATTCTGGAGATGAGGCCATGTCGACGAACAGCAGCTAGGTGGGTCTTTTATAAACTATTTATGTAAATTATATTATTGTTAGCTGAGGCGAAAAGATGATTTTTGGTTAAGCAAGTCCTGTGAATATTTAAAAATTTGGTCACCCAGAATTTCGGATTGGTCATTGGTGCTCTTTTCGCGGGCGGTCGTCTTCTAATTGTTTTTGAGGAATCTGGATATGCCAGAGTGCCGCCTCATCCAAATAAGGTTCCCCCTGTAAGTGAGTTTGTGAGTGGGTACGGGCACGTCGCCCCTGAATATTCTCTAGTGTTGTAATGGTATCATTTTGCTGGAGAATCTGCGCCTCAAGATTTTCCTAAATTTAAAAGTCTATGATTTTTTGATGACTTCCTCATCCACTAGCCCTCACAAAGCCAAATTGGGACAGCTGTCGCATTGTTATGTGTTTTCGCCCATGTGTAGCCCGGAAAAGAGAGGCTATCGAAAACAGCGTGAAATGGCTCCGGTCGAGACCGTCCGGCACGTGGTCGGTCTCAATGCCCCCCTTCCAAATACTTTCCCATAGCATCAAATCCCCAGCCAAACTTCCAGCTGTTATCAAGTGTGCTCTTTGAAGACCATCGAGTCATTGTTTTCGCCTTTTCCGCTCTGCTGTCCCGTGCAAACGCGAATTTCGTAATAGCCGCCCGCTCTCTTTCCTAGTCTCTATAAACTCCAAACAATAATCATTTGGGTTATTTTAGCAATGTCGAAATGAAAAATATCGAAATTCATAGTGCTGAAATTGAAAATGACGACATTGATAATGTCGAAATTTCATAATGTTAAAGTCTAAACAGACAAATACAATTATATACAGGGTGTCCCAAAAAAAACGACCCATCTGGCATTTCGCCGGGTTACCTCCGATCGGTCCCATATTTGGAACAGAGATGTATCAGACCCTAAATAACAACAATCCTGACTTACAGCCCCATATCTACAGTAGTTTTAAAGTTATAACGAAAATACTGTTTTGCCGGAATTCTGCACAGTTTTATCGGCTATCTTTTTGGACTTTGCATCGATTTGCATCGACTTCCGGCTGCGAATCCCTAATTTCGCTTAAGAACCGGGGTGATTTTGCGTTGTAAAAATCGCTTAAATCGAAGCTTATTTAATTAATTTTACTCTGGAAAAAATTTCTTACGGTAAAGAAGACCTACCGGATCATTTTCACTTAATGTTTAGGGGGTCTAATTCCACGAAACCCCATGAAAAATGGAAAATAAAGTTTGTTTTTGCTATAACTCGAGAACGACTATAGCTACCGGGCTAAAAGTCAGGATTGTTGTTATTTAGGGTCTGATACACCTCTGGTCCAAATTTGGGACCGATTGGATGTAACACGGCGAAATGCCAGATGGGTCGTTTTTTTTGGGACACCCTGTATGCAAGAAAATTTTATATGTAGAAATTTCCCTTTTGAATGCCGGCATTTTGAAGTTCAACTTTATGCATTTTTACATTATGATAGCAAGTTCAATCCTTTGTATGGGGGTGTAGAACATAACTCGGAAGTAGACAGCTTTTTTACCCCGGGAACTACTTTTCGTGATCAACGAATTTTGGGTGCGGGTCTTCTTACGCAATCCTCGCCCTCCTCAAGCGCCTACTCATATCCCCCCCCCCCCTAGCAATTTCCAGAACCTGCTGTTTATTTCAACGTTCCCCAACCTCCGCATTCACCCAATAACTTTATTGTTTTCACCACATTCCAGCGGTGAAAGTCACCCAAATTGCCCACAAAGGGCAAGCCGAGTGAGTACAAATTTTTTTTGTCAGTCTTTTCGCAGTGTTCTGGACTCCGGCCTAAAGGGCGGGTGAGAGAAGGTTTGCGATGAGTGGTTGACTGAAATTTAAGCCTTAAGGGCCTGAAGACCTTGTTTGCGCCTAGGCACGTGGGTGGGTGTGGGTGCGCGGGTGTGGTTTTTGTTCGTCCGGTTGGTCCGATTTGGAACGGATTGGTCATCACTAGCTTTTCGTATACCGTAAGAAGGTGCCCGCATAAACCGTGCGAATCCGTCGCGCCGTTCCCCTTCATTCCCAATGCCGCGTCAATAAAATAAATTTACATTTTCAGTTGCCGACAAGGGCCATCCCGGATCCCGTGCCCGTCTCTACATGTACATTTTATAGGTGAGAAAACCAAGGGTAAAGCCAAAGAAACACGCTTTTTTAGCTATCCCCGTGTGAGAAAATATCGACGAGCAGTTGGTGAAACCACCCAACCGGTACCCTACCAAAACGAGAATTTGACACTCCGTATATGCCACTTACCCCCCAAAAAGCCCACGTCGACTGTGATGGATCTCGCGTGACTCTTCAGTCAACATTACTTGTTACCCAAATGGGCACTTGTGTTTTCAATAGCAAAAAGCGGATTGGCGTCAATTTGTATTGACTTGAAAACGCTCGTCAAAAACCCAGAAACTGCTAATTTTAATGATATTACGAGTTTTTATGTGCTCTTTGATAAGGTAGGCTCAATGAAGTGAAGCACCTTACCTTTTATCTCCACCACCGGCTTTATAAGCCAATTTATCCATGTCCCCCCGGGTTCGGTTACGCACTAACGAGTCGGAAGAGCAATGCTTTTTTTCACAAGATCTAATTTTTTTTCTCCGCCGACTATAATCGACTCTCAGCTTGTCACTGTGATTCCAGTGTATTCCTTTCTACGATTGCAATTATTAGCCTTTCTACGGTACTCTACTTGTCATTATAATCCTACCTTATATAATTTTGGCGTGTATGTGTGTGTGTGTGTGTGGATGTCACTTTCGAGGCCCGATTTGAGGGCCTTCCCGTGTATAAAACGCCCTAATTCTCCGTCACCCGGGGGAATCGACCCTTCTGTTTCGGATGGCGTTGTCAGAATTGCGATAGAATACAAGTTTACAAAGTTAAAGCCGGTTTTATTCATTTTTGGGGGTCCCTGCGGGCTAATTTGCATAATGCGGAAAAATACAAATTTCCTCATTCTTGCCAGTTGCACACGCGTGTGTGGCCGGTGGGGGGGAAGGGGTCCGAAGGACCCGAGCTATCGGGAAGTCAAATTTTTCATGCAAAGACCGCATTCCAGCGCCCAAGGCCCGCGAAGCGGGTTTTGGGCGCTGGTTCTCCTATAATTGTCTAGCTGCTACGAGTTGCCCACCAAAGAGTACCCGTTCTCCCCCACTTCCGGTAATAAACATTTTTATTCTTGATTCGGCCCAGAGAATGAAAAATTACACATTACACATTACACACAGCTAGCGTGCCACCTGAATCGTACCAGGAAACGAACACAAACGGAAGAAGTTGAGTGAAGGCACCATGAGATATCGCAGAACACGCGCGTCAGCAAAAGAACAAGTGAATAGGAGTGGGAGGGGAGTCGAGGGAACAGCGGTTAAATTTTTCAAAAGGGCTAGTGTTCCTCCAGAATAACCTAGGCCTTTTGGAGGTCGTCAGAATAGTCTTTGCTCCGGCATGCCACGATGATGGCCAAGATGGACGAGACGATGCAGAAGACACCGGCACCGATTGCCTAAAAAGCGGATTATTTTGCATTTTCGAGAAACATAGAACTTCGAAAAGAATTTTCCTAATTTATCTTGTCGGCATTTCTCGAAATTACACTTTAAGCACCCCCATTCCCTAGTCAATAAATCCCATGATTTTACTGCTGACATGATGGGTTCATTTTTCGACCAATTTTGACATTCTGTTTTTCGACAAAACGAAACGCTATAAAGTAAAATTTCGACAAAATGAAATGTGGGTAAAGATATTTTTGACCTATTGAATTTGCAAATGTTAATTGAAATTTGGTTGACAAAATACGCCATAGTTCTCTATTTTTGCACTTACCTGGTAGACCAATTTGCTGTTTTCAGAATCGAACTCGATATCCACCAATTCCTCAGTCTAGAAAATAATAAAATACATTTTTGTTCTTTGCTCTTACAGCCTCAATCGATTCCACCGGAATATCCGGAATCTTGGCCAAATGGCTCATCGACTTCATTCGCTGCGCGATAGAGATAGCATCCACAAAATCGTCCTCATCGTAGGGCAAATCCGAAGAGTTGGCATCCTACAGAAAAAACAAGATTGAATATTCTACAATCCTGACTGACCTTCTTCAAGATGGCGAACTGAACAACAAGGGTGTCATCGGTGCCCTCGCATGAAGCGCGAAGGACCAGGACGTCTTCCTAGAGGCGGAAAATAAAAACAAAAGCATACTGGATTGGCTGTTCATATAGTAGGATGTACAAATAAATTCTACATTCGTATCTGTGATTATATCCAGCCTCTGTTGCTTTTTACGTCGCAAATTTGTAACATGATCAGTTCTGTTTTTAGTACAATTTTGAATTTTCATACTCACATCATCAACACGAAGTGCAGATGCAATCTTGTTCACGAAATCCTCTTCCGGCCATTCTTCGCGACCTGCAAAGAGTTTTTGTGGCCAATGGCTGAGCCGAGCTCTTCGCAGTGGCTCATTACGCAGGTGGCGGTCTTTCTTGTGGCCCTAGCGATGGACTGGGAGAGGCGGAGGGGGAAGTGTTTGCTCGGAGGAGTACAGGATGAGTGGCTTCTCGCCCACGCTCATCGATTTAAAGCTGCTACAACGTTTCTACGAAATTTCACAAGGAGAATGAGGATTTTACGGTTAAAGTTTGGCTTGGAAGGGATAAAAACAGGAATATGATGGATTCAAAGCAATGGTTTAAAGCACAAACCTTCGCTCGAGTCGTCAATCTTCAAAGTCACAGAAACAACCGGGAAGTTGCCGTTTTCGTCTCGGTCGATCAACTGATTGCAAGAAACCTCTGGTGGGGCGGACTGAAATTTCGAATTAGAAGGTCTCCACATGATTCCATTAAATAATCTATACAATTCACCCTCCTCGTTCCGCCTAGCCCTCATTGCGAAAACAAATTTTTTTTGCAAGGAGCTATTGGATTACACACAGCATTATTCTGATGGGTCCAGCGGCAAAAATGAGCCCAGGGGTTAATCCTTTTTTTTTGCGGGTTCTGCTATTTATCATGTTAAATAAACCTCTTCTCGGGTCATGGCGCATACACATTTGTGTTCAAACGAATCACCGTTGCAGATCTGTAAAAATATATTAGTTCATTGGTGTAAGAAGTATTACCTGGTGCTCCTCCATCGGGCACATCGAGCCCAGCGCCAAAGCGGCCAAGTTGAGCACCAACACCCACCGAAGCATGGCTAAAATCTAGGAGCTAGACGGCAAAAAAGGCGGTCAACGATTAGAATGGAATCGTGGCAGACGAGGGGAGGGGATGAAATATTTATGTCGGGGAAGTTGCAGCGAGGTTCGGCGCGTCGCCGTGGAGCTGGTTGGCAAAAAGCGGGGGGGGGCTGAAGCCCGAATCGCGATAATATGAAAGGAGTGGATGTGGGGAGATGGATTTGAACGTCAGGACGTGACGCATATTGCTGGTGGAGGTAATTAGGTAATATGGGTTATGAATTATATTGCAGAATTCATAGGGATCGGAAAAGGTCGCTGATGTATTAAAGACACTATTTTTTCAAACTCACTCTTTTTAAAGCAATTGGCAGGTGCCAGGCCTTAAAAACATACTAATACGAACAACATCATAAATAATATTGATATGTAAATTATTACTGCCAAAGAAAGGGTTTTACCCAACGTTTTTATGTGGAAGAGCGGCTTAAAGATATAATTCAACAAAAGAAACCGAATTTTCCATAAAGTTCCGAAATACAACACTTTACCAAATCCAAACCCGTCCAAAGAAAATGTGTCCTGGAATTGAATGAGTAGAGGGGAGAAACGGGGATTGGTGTCAAAAGGGCCAGGTAGGCCTTGGGTCCAGGATGGAGGGGGGGGGGCATGTTCGTCTGTTTGTGGGGTACTTGAAAAGACTCCCTAGGCTCTGCCCATCTCCCTCCACAGAAGCTTCTTCCCCTTAACCACCACCACCACAACCACTAAGAGATACCGGCAGATCTTTTAGGCGCCTCCCTCCATCTTCTCGCCCGCACTCACCTACCCAATCTCCCCCCGGTGAAGACTTGAGAGCCGACGGCTATTCAACGCTCACCAACCGATTGACCGCAACTTTAGGAGAAAAAAATTAGGGGGGTGATTGTTTGATAGATGAAGGAGGGATCGGCTTTTAAAGGGCTTCAGTAGTTAAAAGCGGAGATGTTAAAACATAAGATGTTGATTCCCATTATTTTTTTGATTAAAATATCGTCGTGCTAAACCTGGCTGTTTAGGCGAGGCTAATAAGAAAAAAAGGTATCCAGGTAGTTGTAGTCTTGTGGAAAAACGGTCAGGGACGTTTTTTGGAAAAAAAGCAAAGATTTTTGCCGCGGACGGGGGTCGAACCCGGGCCCCCCGCCCGGGAGGCGCGGATGGATACCAATCAGCCACAGCTACAACCTGGCGAGGGGGCGAGGGGCGCCCCACGCCGCAAAGGAGGGCAATGGCCTGTCACAGCACGGGTAGGCCGTGCGCGCGGTCCCTACGTCCATAGGGTGTACACGTTGGGACGAGTATACGGCCCCTCCCTGAACGTGCGCTTTAAAGGAACGTGTAACGTTAAAAGTGGAGCTGTCACCGCAAATGCAGTCAATCCGTGAACTGGTCGAATGAAAACTTTCTTCCTGCTAAACCTGTCGGCTAAGATAAAATTATGTCGGTGAATTCAGATCTTCTGGAATCTGATAAGAGCAAATTATTTAACTAATCGGAGAAAAGATCTTACAATATCAGTGATTCTGATGCAATTCAATTTCGATGATTTTCTAAAACATGCAATTTCCGTTTTAACAGTCAAAAGTTTATGGGGTGATCAAATCTTGGTTCGAAGCCAAAGCTTCATGGCAGAAAATTGGGAGCCTTGAACGCCTGTGCTGGAAACGAACGAAAGGCCCTTGAACGCAAGCGTCATTTCACGTGGAATGTTGCCAACAAAATTGCTTTTCGCGCAATATCGGCTGCATGCATGCCAAAGCATTAATCAGGATCCGTTAGAAATGTAGTGGATGAAAGAATACCTTAAAAATACAGGTAAATAACACCACAAAAGTATCGCATGTATAGAAAATGTATCAACAAAAAACTTAAGATCGCGGTCCAAGTATGCCTCGAGAAAGAATAAATAAATTTGTTCCAGAAGCTTTCAAAAAAAAAAACCTTTCAATGCCCAAAATGACCACCGCTTTAATTAACGACCTCAGGCGCCCAAGGTGCTCGTTTGTGATTTGCGGGCCGCTATAAATTAACTTTTCGCCACGTTGCCGCAAATGAAGGTCCTTTGGCCGGGCCATCGATCAACAAGAAGGGCCACAAAGGATGAATGGCCAGATGGAAAATGAAATGAGAGCTGAAGAAAATGGAAACGGGCTATAAATTTTGGGCTCGATGCGTTAAAGGATGTAAATGGGTGCTGTCTTGTGGGGGGGGGCTGTTTCGGGTACACGAATACTCGAGGGACGGTCTTGATTGTAGCTGGATTAGGTGTATATTATGGAATTTAGGGAGAGAGAGAGAGAGTGAAAGCAAGATAGAGAGAGGGGGAGCGCGAGAGAGCGAGAGATCGAGAGATAGTGAAAGAAGACGAGATCTTCTACTACTTCGACTTTTAACCGCTTTCAACCGAGTTCCGGCCAAAAACCCATACATGATAACCAGCGACCATTGTAACATTAGAATAGGAACTAAAAGCTTCTTCGGGGTCGTCGAAAAAGTACTGGGAGTTGTTTCTGAGACCCGAAAAATTTGGCTCAAATGACGCCGCCTAGCGCCTGTTGCCGCCTTTTTTCATGACCCCCTCTCACGCCAATGTCCTGGTCCATCTCTGCAAACGATCACTCTGAATCCATTCTAGCCGCAGAGCCACCACCACCATTTTTTGCCTTCTTTTCCTGTCAAGCCCTTCCCAAAAAAATGTTTATTCGAGAAAATGATATGTCCACAAAAAGATAGAAGCATACAGAGTCGGAAGACGTATGTGTGTGTTTTGTTGGAGGTGCGAATACCACCTCCGCCATTTCTTGACTAGAAGGCACTCAGCGATTGGTTGCGTCCGGAAATCTCGAAAAATGTAAATTCTCTGAATATAAATCAATTATCACAAAAAGATTTCGTTTTAGCATTGCGCAACAATTGACATTTACAAAAGACGCAGGGTCGGGTAAAGTGAAGTGGATCTTGTTGTAGAGTTTTGATCGAAATCAGTTCTTGCTTTTTAAAGGTATAACTATTGAGCTATAGTTGCATAATATCTGGAGAGGGACACCGGAGAGTCGGATGAAATTTTTTAGGGTTTTAATATTTGTAATAATATGGGTATAGCCATTTGGAGGGCATAAGATGGGGCGGGGTTTCGGTGAACTGGGCCATGTTGATGTAGCTAATCGTCGGCACGGGGGTCTTCGTAGTCCTCGAAATCAGGGTCGCGGTATTCAGTGAAGCGGCTGGGAACCGGCTTATTCCTGCAAAGAAATAAATATTTATATTAATTTTTAGGTGGGATTAACGTTAGATTTGTCCCTACTAAGCGGAAATACAGATGTATAGGTTGTCTCTAAAATTATCCGGAGGAATTCTGTAAAGCTATTTTTCCTAGTTTTTGCTAATTTATGGAGCATACAAGAATTGAGCCATCGGAAAAGCAGGTGTTAGCGGTTATTAAAATTCTAGCTGCGAAATACCCGTGAAAAACGCTGATTTTTAATCAAATTGTTGCGTTTAATAAAATTATCTGCTATAAGCCGATTTTTCTATCAAATGTCATCCATCAAAAATTTCTTTGTCCGGACAATTTTCGACACCAAATACCATGCAACATGTAGAGAAGCTAAGACGAAAAGTAACATAAGTGAAGTTCTCGGAGGGGACAGCGGCCGAGGGGTTAATACAGGGCGAAAGGTAAGCGGAGGGACCCACGAGGTCATCGAGGTCCTCGTCGAGCTCCGAGCCTGAATACGTACGCGACGGCCCTCCGTATAGGTCGCGATCGTCGTGGTCACCGTAGTATCGGAGTTGGGCGTGACGGTCGCGGACTTCTGAGAGTTCACGACGACGACTGAATTGGACATTGGACATTGGACATTGACAAAGCAAAGACGTCGGCGATGACGTTTGGACATGGGTAGAGACTTTTTGGACATGTATGCATTAATGACGGACATATTTTCGCATTTTTAAGGTTTGAAACATGTGGATGTTTTTAAACGCGTTTCTTTGACTCTGCTCTACTATTTTCTACTCTCTCACGCACTCTCTTTCGTCTCTCTCTTTCTCTCTCTCTCTGTCACTCTCTTTCGCTCTCTCAATCTAACTGTCTCCCTCTCGATCTCGCTCTCTATCTATATCTATCTATCTCTCCACACCCCCTCTCTCTCCGTTTGCTTTTTTCTTTGTAACTGAGCACCAGGTACATGTAAATGTCTTACATATGCAATACAATTCTAGCTCCTCCTTTTTACTCACCGATTAATCGATTCCAAGCTGATCGGATTGCTGTCACGAACTTGCGAGCCAATCGACATGAAACTAAATTTGACTGTTTCGACGTGTAATTGAACTCTCCTACCGTTGCTCCCAGAATTTTGGGGTCCTCAAGGCGGCCGAAAGGTATGAAGAGTTATTCTGCCTCCAATCCGTGTCTCCCTTTGTGAAAAGGTATCCGGAGATAGGTGCGCTGCCCTTCGCGCTCGCTTCTGACAGCAGTTTGGTTTCCCATTCGTGCGGTTTTGACCTGGAAATTTAGACATAGGCTGTGGTTTTTTTGGTTTTCGGTTTTCGTATCTAGGTAACTTTTCCGGAGGGGTATCCATAGAGTTACAATCCTGAACAGGTTCGATGTCTCAAAAATTGCGGAACGACAACGTTGTGCGATAAAATATGTTCTTTTTAGGTAAATGTTGGCAATTCTTTTGCCCCCACTTAACGAAAATTCAGTTTTCAGAATTTTTCTTTGAGTCGCTGTCGATCAATTAAAAACACGGAACCTCTTCCGTATTTTAAGCTTTATCGAAGCGGCCATGTGACATTCCTAGCCAAACACCAGTATTACCCAAAACCACTTGTTAACGAGCGTATTTTATTTAAGTTGTATCTTCTTATTCTACTCACCCTCGCGGCGTATATTTCCCCTCGGGCCTCTTGTACAGATCGACAGAATGTTGCAGATCGTAGTCGAAATAGTCGGGGTCGTCTTTGTTCGGGCGGGAGTAATAGGGCCGCGGCGCGTACGACTACATTAACGTAAAAATTTTAATTCCTAGACGTACCGAGAAATCATAATCATCTAAGTCATGCTGATCAGAGGCCGAGCCTGCCGCGGGTTCAGGAGCACGGCGGAATTCCTGGAGAATTATTTGATTAAGAACTAAGTTGTAGATGAGCTTACCCGTGCTGTGATTGACCGAATGTTCGGCAATACGGATGATGCGATCAGCCTCGACTCGACCTCAGTGGCACGTCTGTCATAGAGCTTCTCGTATTCCGTCGGTTTTCTAATAAGCCGGTATAGTTGGAAATTAAGGATTTAAGATACCTGTATGTTGATTCAATTCCCTGGGATCTCGACACGGCTGGTGCAGCGTAAGGGCCGGAACCTATGCAAATTACATTATAGAAATTTAACCTTTAATAAAATGTTATACTATTCATATTCTATTACATATTACATCATCAACTTATGATGTTCTAGATCTACCTATTAATAATATTCTAACTCGATAGAAACAGATAAACAGCCAACGTACCATGCGTGAAAGGATTGCTGGAGGATCCGGACTGTTGAAGCAGGGGATTTGTGGATGGATATCGACGGCTAAAACGATTTATGTAAACTTTAGATGGTAAAAAAGTTATTTATATTGGCTGATCAAACGTACGCTGGAATATAGCCATTCCCCTCCAACTCTCGGAAAGGACTCTTGCCCTGTCGTCCGACAGGTCGGGAAGCCAGACCCTCCATAAAGTCGTACTCATCCTTGCCTCGGTCGGCAGTTCTTTTCGCCTGAAATTTGCATAAATGGGATAGAAAAGCATTAATTAATTTTAATTTCAATCATATAAATTTTTATACTTTATAGTAGCTGTCCTTGACACTTTCGTGAAGTTGCTTTGAAGCTGGTAGCCTGTCAGAAACTTCATCGAGCAGCGAGTCCGAAAAATCCTTGCGGAGTAGACGAGGGGCTGCCAGTCTTCTTGGGATGTGCGAACTAAAATATATATTGATTCTAAAGGTATTTTTATAAATTCATATTGCTTTTCGGCCTATATAAATTTCACTCCACGATCCCGGCGCTGTAAATGATTTGAATCTGGCTATGATTGATTCACCACATGGGCTGGAACCACGAGGATCGCCAGATTCAGTATCCTTTCTTTTGCCGGCCTCACATCTGGGCTCAATTAGTCCACAAATGCTCTACAGCGCCTGTCGAAGTGCATGGATGGCTAGTCAAAGTGTCAAATTTCCTGCGAGCAGCTCTCAGAAAAAGAATCCGGGAAAACAACTGCTAGTCAATTCTCGAGGAGTGGCATGGGTAGGTTGCAAAAAATGGGATGTTGGTACTACGAGGAACAAAAATGCCCAATGCTAATTTATCCAAATTAATACCTGGATGCGATCAACTCCTCATCTGGGGAGGCGCACCTGGGCTTTAATGGGGTGATCGGCGGTGAGATTGGCCTAAATAAACTGGATGCTAATAATCGAGAATTAAATACCGTAGCGTTGGCATTGCCGAGCTTTTGTAGCCCAACAATTCACGGCCCGCATCGATCAGTGCCTGTGATTCATCGGAGAGCTTGAATGCCTGAATTTTGAATTGTAAAGTTTATCGGCCGATTTGATATACCTTGTATCCCCCATCTAAAGACGAATCGGCATGCCCATTTAGCGAGACGGGCGGCTCAGCGGGCTTTTGCTAAAAAGTTCGCCATATAAAAGATTAGGCTCACAGGTTAGTGAAACTTAAGCTTTACTCACTTCCGAGCCGCCCCCCTTGTCCTCCTCGGTTGAATCACCCATCTAAAATGTGCAATAGACCTGGAAGGAAGGAAAAGGTCGAGAAAATTTGTCCAATGAAACTATACAACCGCATTGTGAGAGACAGCCACTATAAACATACTAAGTAAATGATAGAATCAACTCTAAAAATCAAGAACATTAAAAACAAATCTCCAATCAATTGTGCGAGACGGCTTTGTGCCTGGCCGGATCGATGGCCAGACCACAGAATGAGAACAGTTGTCGTGCTTTGTATGTCGACACTCTGCGCCTACACTCATATTGGGGGGAAGAGCACCCCCACGGCGGTCATTTGGAGGGTTTTTGGATGAGAAGATGGGGAGACTTGGGAGGGCCAAGCTAACTTGCAAATCTGGGAGACATTCTTGGGGAGGAGCGTGAAAAGCAGAACTTTTATAAATGCAAATCACGAAAGTTAGAGGCCGCTGGGATGAAATAAAAATGGTGGAGGGAAAATATTTAGACAAAATGGAGCTGGAAACTTAAGGCTAAAAGGTTATGCTTGAAACCCGAAATCTTCAAGCTTGTCAGATTCAAACTTTAAATATTGAAGCCTGAGAATTCCGAAGCTTGAAATAATCTTTTAAATTACGTTCCTAAATCCTGAAATGAAAGCTTTTCCAAATTTTACGTAAATAAAAGTCTGTGGAGTCGAGAATTAAACTACTTGCAATGTAGAAAAAATTAGAGAAAGGAGTCAATATTTGAAATCAACTAAGAGAATTCGCATGGATTTTATATTATCTTTTCTATCTTATTTTTTATTATTAAATTTATATTTTATATTGATCTTATATTTTTATTTATATTTGATCTTATTATTTGTATCTTTTTGAAACACTAAACCAAATTCCAATCCAACCACAATCAAAAATCGACAATCGAACCCATGAGCCACGTCCATTTCCCTAAACCCCCACGCGCTTCCGCAAAATAAAAAAAATGGCTTGCGTTGAGAGTAGAAGTGTGGGATCAAAGAAAAGTGGATGTGGTGCGGGGATGGGCGCGCAAATAGAGAGATCTCAGGACGGTCCCTACGCCTAGGCAGGGCCACCCAGTGAGTCTCTGAGATTTCGCGGGGGCTTCGACTGGTGGTGGGGGGGGGGGGCACAAGCAGAAGCTCTCCATCGTGCAACACATAGCATTTTGGATTGTGGAGGGGGGGGGGGTAGAATTGGTCGTGTTTGGCAGATGTAACAACACGGAAAGGAAAGCGAGCGACACTAGATTGTTTAAAGGTATTACGCAATTAGCTGGAAGGAGATTAAATTGAATAGCTGGCTAATATTGAATTCTCGGAGATTATTATTCATCTAGATTGGGATAGCATTAAGATCCAAAAAAATTAGCTTTTTATCTGCACCCAGAAAGGTATGAAATTCGACTCCACAGCCCCTTCAAAGAGAAATTCACAAATGTCGGATTTTTGATATACAATAATTAGCAGCAGCTACACCCCAAAACAGCTTTTTTTTAGCTCTAGTGTATGCTCTGGTAGCTTAGGTTATTGCTTTCAACTGCTTGTTGCATAATTTATTCTAGTACAAAGTCAAAAATAGCGACGAATACTGCCCTCCAGCGCGCAAAATTATATAATAAAAGTAGGTAAACTGAGCCATTCAAAATCATCTAAATATTTTCTACCCCACTACCAAAAATAACCAAAGTTACACCAAATGCTAGCTAGGTCCGCAAAAATTTGGCCCGCCGCCAAACGGTGGCCCTAGGCTGGGGGCCACATGTGAGGTACCGCCCGTGGACATCGGACATTTGGAAAGACCGGAAATCAAACCGAGTTCAAAGCAGAGCATTCGCTCGCATAGAAAAGTACGCACTGAGATTCCTTGAGAATGTCGTAAATTTAGAACGGGTTGTTTTCCGGGAATCAAGGAGAGACAGGATGTGTATATTTTGAGTGGGAATTTCCGAAAAAGGATTTGCTCAAGTAAATGGAGCGTGTTTTTGAGGCGACACTTCAGGGTCCATGTTGTTAAAAATAGGGTTAAGGAGAGGGATCTATAAAATTGAGGCTCCATGGATGGCAGTTGAGTAGTCGGGTAAGGAGGTTGAACCGAAGAGCTAGGAGATCAGCGTGAGAATGGCATTTGACCATGGCCCCTAACACCCAATCAATAATGTTTTTGCGAAAAAGGTTGTAAGTATGAAGTAGTAGGAGGCGCTTTTAGGAAAGAAGAAGATGAGACGGGGGTGCGGGAGGAGAGAGCCGAGATCTTGGGCAGCAGCCCGGGCAGAGTGTAATGCAGTGCCTAGGTCCCCAGCAACCTCAACCCCCTTACCCCCCTCACTCACTCTCACAGTGGATGGACGACGACCTACAGGTAGACATGACACACACAAAAGGCATATGCAGATGTATTGGTTGGCACTGGTGGTGTAAGAGCTGTTGGGTGCAGTACGGAAAGATCCCCGCTACCAAACTCTGGTGAAAAATATTATTTTTAGATTTTGAAATCCGGATAAGTATCCTACATTTAGCATTTTCTAAACATATAGAAGAAATCGCTCTTATTAGTCTGTTTTCTTCAGCTTTTAACATAATTTTATCATTCTTAGCTTCCCCGTCTTCTCAAAAAAATTTATAAAAATTTGTTTGACACCAATAAGCAATTTATAACAACTTTCCTATAAATTGAATAAGGGTAATTAAATAATTAATAATTTAATTTTCTTTTTGGATACCCATAATTTCCTCCCTTTTCGTCTACCTTGTTAGCCCCTTTAAAACGACGAAACGACTTCTAACTATTTAACAAACCGATCACAATTGATGCGATGCCTAATGAAAAAACAATTTAGCAATTTCAAAAATTAAACATGAATTAATGCTCATAGCTCGATTTTCTTCACCTTTTACCTATCGTTTTCTCTGTTTCCGCCCACCATATTAACGCCATTGAACAACCCAGGCCAATTATCCCGCACCATATAGCCTGAGCACTCAAAAATTCGACAAATTGTACCCCTCAAAAATTCTGTGAATTCTCGGAGTAATTGTTTTCCCGGTCCCCTTGATTTACCACAGAACGTTTGCTAAGTTCGTTTCACCCTAGTCATGCCTATTTTGGCGCATCGTAGCCGACTTCAAAAAGCGAAAGGGCAGCCCTTCGAGTCCGCCATCGTCGGGGCACTTTTACAAAGACAATATTTGCGCGGAGATCTTGTAATATCTCGCATACCTAAGCCGATCACGCGGGTTTTGTTGAGGGTGGAAGGAGGATGGTGAGATGAGGAATGGAAAGGAAAAAGGGGGAAGGATGTCGAGTGGTCGGTGTGGGGGCGAGAAGATAAAAGGGAGGGGGAAGGCTTCGTGGAAGAAGCTGAAGGAGAAAAAGCAGCTTTTCGGTTGGTGGGGCCCAGGGACAGGCAGAGGTTGGTGGGATGTTTGCCGATTCGACCCGGCAGAACACTTCACTTTCATGCCACATCGTCTGCTTCGATGGGATGGCACATTAGCGGGGAAATCGGAATTGATGGATGGAGGCTTGAGATTTGATGTTAAATTTGAGTAAAAAAATGTGATTGTTTTTATATAGTCGATAAGGTTTTGATAGCTGTGTTAAAACATTAATGTTAAAATGTATAGTTTGTACCCGCACCTTTCCTAGAAAGTTTAGAATTTAGTTTTTAGGTCGCGTATGCCCAAAAAACTGCGTATTCTACCGCACTAAATCCCTACTTGATCTTGTATCCATGATTCATGCCGGTAATCCCTTACCCTTCCACTGATCCCACCCTGGCTTCCTTGGTAAATCCTGACCGCCGGTTACGGTAGTTGTAAATCTTGTCTGTATTCTTCAGACTCATTTGCGATAAATAACTTCAATAATTCAACAATTAAGAACCATTCATTTCATAGAGACACAAACTTTATTCGCATAGTCGTCGCGCTTCCCGAATTATCAGAAAAATTTTTTTGGTTGGATCTGTGTGTGTGAAACGGAAATGAGAGAACGAAAGAAAGCGTATCGTGCAATTCCAAAGCTTGCTAGCCCATAAAAAACACAACAAAACCTGTACAAATAGGGGGAGACAACAAGCATTATAAAACGGGCAAAGTGAGGCCGGAGATAGCGGGGGGAGGGAGATCTGTAAAAAATAATGGGGAAGAGATCAGCGAGGGCGAGCGGGTAATTCTAAAACAACTAGACAGAGTAAAGAAGCGAATTTAGAGGGTTCTGAAAGAGATCATTAAATCGAAGGGTCCTTGCATCTGCCGATGCCGGTATTTCGCTTTTCCTTTTCTACAACGCACACCTTCTCCCCGGGACAAGTACAAGTCGTCTTTGAAGCTAAAGAAATTTCATTTTACATCAATCTTTCAACCCTCACCAATAAATGTTTCTAGTCTGCACATCTCCTCTTCAGCGCATACGGGGAGCTGAAAAAGTACGGTTAACATACGCCAAAAAATACTGTTAGCTAGGGGCAGATTGTTAGCTATTTTCAAAGCCAGGGATGGTTTTGCTACTATCACAATTACCAGTTCATTGTTTTCAGCAAATTCCTTAACGACCCTCTCAATTCTCGGGCCTTATTTATGTATGGCCGCCACTAAATCGTGAATTTAGACATTTTACAAGTAACAGGGTTTTTTGCAACTCCAAAATAATGCAAAACCAACCGATTCGCAGGTGAATTCGCTGAATTTTCCATTTTTCGGCTCCTTCCGTTCCAGATGCATGTAGTCTGGACAGGTGCACGACAGTTTCACCTGGAACAATGAACATTTCTGTTGCGATCGTTTGGGAGGGGGGGGGAGGGAGGGGGAGAGTCTATATGTTGGGAGCTACCGTAACCCGGGCCCGGCGCCTTCAGCTATTGTCCCAAACTCTCTCAGGCGAATCTGATCCGACATTCAATTTCGGGGCCTTCTAATAGGGATCGTGGGTGGATGAATGTTCCTTTGAAGTTCCGTTTTCGTTGGAGACCAAAAAATAACAAATCTTACCTGAATTCCGTCTGTTCGATGGGCGAGTTGCCCCTTCTCACACACTGGGATGTCCAGTTTCTGGCAGAACTAAGAAAATTGGTTAGAAATCATGGTAAAAGTGAGCTACATCGTATCGAATCCCCTGGACGACATGAGAGAAGTCGCCATCCGGGCACTCGGAATCGTTCGGACATCCACAGAAGGAGAAACGATATCCGTAGGTATTTGTTCGACACGTTTCCGCCACATCACAAGTCGGACGGCTCCAGGGAAGATCCGAAAGGTGCCGTCGCTGTTTGTGCCTCTGAAACGCGTTTTGTACAGATGTGCTAGTTAGGTATTTTGACCCCATCTGGAAACAACTGCGCGTCATGATTTTCAGGCCCCATTAATTTTTCAGGCATCTATTTCTGGCCTGCAGCTGGGCTGATTTTCGATTCTGGCGGCTTTTGAGGAAGAAGGAGAGCTTTGAATAGTCGATTCGAATGCAAAAAAATCCGCCTATGGTTTTATAGATATGAAAATGATGTGTGTTTATTATCACTTGTTATCCTATCATTAAAACCTTACCAGGATATTTGCTGTGCAAAAGTAGGGAGCAGCCGCGATGACGATGAGTGAATACAACAACATCACAAATTTATCTGCCAAGCTGAGCCAAAAGTCGGCAATACAATGCCGCCTGCCGCTTTGTTCTGAAAAACTGAGCGTCGTTTTTGGGGGAGTCCGAGGGGGCTCAAAATTTTTCTCATGAGCGACACGAAGGGTTTTTATAGAAGGTCCCAACTACAAAAAGGCTGTTTTTGGCGGTCACTTAGGGATAACGTCAGAGGGTGTCCTAATTGCGGCTGGAAAGGCTCCCACAAATCATGAGAAAGGCGAAGAAGTGTCTGGAGGACAAGGACACGGCTTCTAGATTTTTTTGTGTCGCATCAAAGGCAACAACGGGAATTGGGGGGGGGGGGGGGAGAGGATAAACGTTTCTGACAGTAATTATAGACCTGGCGTTCGTGTAAGAAGGCCTTTGGGGTAAGTTTTTAGTAAATTATGGACAATTAAGTTAGTTTTTTGTTCGGATCTGTCGATGGGCTCATTTTGAGATAATTTGCTGTTATGTCAACGGAAGTCTGTGATTGGGACAGAGAACCATCGAAAGTTAAAAAAAAAATGTCTGAAAAGGCAGAAGTAGAGAAGCTTGAATGAGGTATTTTGAACATTATTTTTGGCTTAGAAATTCAGTGCGTGCTGTTGGAAAGGTTTTCGTCGGGTCTGGTAGAACAGAAAGCGGTCTGGGCCCCGGGTCGGGGGCCACCTGCTGCAGGTGCATTACAAACTCAGTATTGGACTTGTGGCATTTTGACATCGGAAAGTCAAGAATGGTTGGTTGAGAGGGGCGAGCGGAAGGCAGAAAGTTGGTTCACGCCAAGATTCAAAAAGTTCCCGGCGACGCAACAGAGACTTTCCCAGGCCTGGAATAGACCAGGACCCATTTGGTGGCCGGAGACTCCCAAAGGAATCTAAAATGGGAAGCCCGTGACGATGTACCTGAATTCTATCCTGGGCACGTCGTGCTTAGAAATTAGAAAAAGAGTTTTGGATGTGTGGGTCTTAAAGCCTGAGTGTAAAGGCATGTGTTCTGAAGGTTGGACGTCCAGGGTACTGCCCCGTAATTATATCCGGCAAGTAATTATCGATGATAGCATTTCAACCGTTCAATGTTCAAAAAACAAGAGGGGGGAATAAGTGGAAAATAACAGTTATCAACTACCCGTGAACCCTGCCGAGGGTTTTGTCTGTTGGTATTTAAGATGGGGGAGGGGCTGGGACGGAGTTATGGCAATTATAGTTCGATCACCAATTTGTTATAAAAGGGCGTATTGTTTAGGGATTATATCGTCGAAGTGCTAGCACTACGCCCTCTAAAAGCAGTTGTATCCGATGGTAACTGACTGAAAGGGTCCACCGAATACTGACTATTTCCGGGCCACCGAAAAGGGGTGGGATGTCAGAGGATTAGCGACTGAAGGGGGGAGGTGGAGCTCGCTGTCAAAGTTCACCAGGAAGAGGAGCCGACTCAAGAGGAAGAACCACCGTCACTACCCTCGAAGCTCCGCTTACAATTTCCCAAAAAGGCACAATAAAGTCACGAGTAGTTGGGTGACATTCGTGGAAGGTCCGGTTTCAAAGTAGCTACTTTGAGGGATACCCCGGAAGTATACCATCAATCTAGCCACACTATAGTAGTAGCTAGCAAAAAGCAGATGCTGAGAATCTGGACACTAGGTAACTGTAAAACATTGATCTTGAAATGACAGGTTGCCACGTAATTGTACGTTGCCACACTTTCTTTTTTTTTGCAACAACTTTTCTAGGTTCCCTCTATCCGAACTTAAAGTAGAAGCAATAAACAGAAAAAGTTTTTTAGGCTTTAACTTGGCTGATTTCTCGATTCCGTGGCTGGGCCTTTTATCCGCGACGGTAATTTCCGCAGGCAAATAGCCAAATTGGGTGTGAAAGCTTTTGGCGTCAACGGGCATAATTTGTGTGAAAGGCCAAAAAATTACGAACACACCGGGGTGTTTTCACATCTCGGTGATGAAGTTCTGGGTCGGGAAATTTCTAGGCGTCTAAGGTTAGGCTCTTTGAAGCAGTCGTTTTTAGGTCTTATTGGAAATTTGGCGATGTGATATATGGTGGATACGGTAGAGTTCGAAATTTTGGATCAGCGCTATTATTCAAAAAATGCTGAAAGCTGACGGTTTTATGCAATAGTTTGTTCAAGTAGAGGTTTTGTTAAGCGGGGGTCGAAACGAGCGAAATCGACTCTTTCAGACCGATTTTTTTACAAGACTATTATCGTACAGCATTTTGTGACGGAGAAGTTTTATTCAGGTTTCAAGCTGTACCGGCCCGCAATATCACACCTATAATATCTAAGAATAAGAGGACCCAGACGAATGCGTGGTGCTATAGCTGAGATCCACATCAACACACTATCGCACTTCAATGGGCGCGGATCCCAAAGCTCAAGCGGAAGACCCGACGGCCGTCCGGAAAAAGCGCGTCACGATGGGCAGATCCACTTTCTCAAAAAGAAGCCAAAGCGCCTCGAGGGCAGTCCCCCACCAAAACGATGAAGCTCCGAAAACATTCCGACACCAGCCAGCAGGGTATCCGATTGCCACCCCTCCGTCCTCTCCGTTGAGGTCTAAGAGCGGGTGACGCGGTCGGGTTTTATGACTGGGCCCGTTGGCATCGAATGTTTCCCGCCACCACCAAAATTAGAAGTATCGCTTGCTCTTGCCCTGTGATGGCCATGACGGGATCCCATCCCATGCCCTTATGGCCCTCCTTCTGTTTGCTCCCGGATATGTGGGTGGCGCGGGGGTACGGTAGCCGCGCGAACAAGAAAAAAACATAGAATTATAAGGCTTCCCATCCCGATTCGGGTACACCAAACCTGGAATATCAATTATCAATTGGGTTGTGATTTGTTAGCGACAGAGAAAAATTTTTTGTCGAGATTCAATGCGTTCCGTGAGCTGTAATAAAATTTTTAGTATCTTTTTGACGCTCTATCCAATGCGTTGCAATAATTCTGAAAAAAAAATCCAGAATATCAAAGATTCTGAGACGATAAACTCCTGCCCCCGCTAACGAAACAGAATTGTAAATTTAAGGAAAATTGTTTGGACCAAGGTTCAAGCTATGAAGAATGAATGAAGAGAGAATGAAGAAAGAAGAAAGAATGAACCTTCTTAGCCAGAATGATGAGATGAGGACGATCATACACTTCCTGTTCAACTTAATGTGAAACTACCGTCATCCGATTAGACTAAATCCACCACGTATTGCAATGAAACGGACTAAGCTTATTACAGGAAATCCGAGTAATTCAGACACGGCATCATTGACAAAAAAAAAGCCCCGGCCAGGCTACCCAGGTGGTTCCTGAAATTTCACCCCCCGGCAAAGACGGGTGTTCCGTAAGTAGAAAGGAAAAATGTTTGCCTACATTCGGACCTCAAACTTAGACCTTAAATTGCTTGAAGATCGTGGGCTATAGAAAGCATCCAAAAAGCAACAAAAAAAAATCAGCGCGACAATGATTTGGAGGGATTTTTATGTCGGCTTATCTCCTTTCCTACATGACCTCGGGGCGGGCGATCGCCGGATTTGGTGCATTTAGGGCAAACTTTGAGGGATTGCGAAGAAAACAAGGGCCAGCACCCCCCCACGTTTCGAATTGTTCATTTAATAGGCGCGGGTGGCCTTTAGGGGCGGGGTGATGAACGCGTGTGAGCCGGAAATTGGCGACGTTGAACTCAAAATGTTACAAAACGGCCGGAAAGTGCAATATGAATGGGCGGATATTATAATATTGGTGAGTGCTTCCTGTTCTTAATAACGATTAGAATGACTAGAATAGGTGTGAAAGAAGCGGATTCATTTTCTTGGTGTTGGTCAGACTGTAAACGAAGAAAGAGAAAATGGTCTATTCGAATAATCTAGGACAAAGATAACTTTGTAAGTTCCACAAATGATTAATCGCAATCCACTTATCGAATTGATCATTTCGGCCTAATATTCCCTTTCATTATTTTTACCGTTCCACGCTGCAGAAAATCTACCCACCGAATTATAGGCCAAATGCATTTACATTACTCACAGACGAGGATAATTGGCTCCGAAACGCCTGTAACAAAATCAGCACATGCCGGCTTTCAAAAAATTCGTCCTTTCATCACCCCCCGCACGTTCCGGGCATCTTATATCACAAAAATTTACGTATTTTGCTCTCGCGCCTACGTATCAAAAGCGCGTGGGAGCAGGGCTATTCTCAAAAACGCATCGACATGTTCCTTGAAAATGAGATGTCTCATGTAATTGCACACCACGATCGTAGACCACAGACATATGATATGTTCAGTCGAAACATTCACACATTTGCGTCTTGTTTTGACCTCTCGGACCCATTGGCTTCTCCCACTCCCTCTCCGTGCGCCAGAATGGTTAATGAACCGGAAAGTCTAATACTGGGTCGGCGTCACGGATAATCGCATATGACCCAATCTGAGGTTTGGTAGCAGATTTAGATATCCCAAAAGATCTGGGAGTAGCCCCATGACATCCTGCAAAACTAGCAAGCTATGCCAACTATTTGAAGATAGGCAACTCTTGAAAGAATAATTCTTCCGAATCAAAAAGTCTGAGTCCATGCGCTGGGATAATAGGGTTTGCGGCAGGAAATTATCGGGCGGCACACTCGGCGAGGGTGGAGCGTTTTTGGAAGCCGATCCGCTTAATTCCATTCAACGGCCTAATGAATTTTCATTATTCAGCCCCGCCCTCTACCCTTGATTGTTTTCTATGGTAATGGGAATTTGCGATTCCGACCTTCCCCATTCACAACCACATCCCCCAAATCAACCTTTGTTTCATTTACAAATACCCGCGCCTCACTACAAGCATAAATATATTTGATTTATTACGCAGCGACGGGGAGAACAATGTGTACCTTTGCACAGAAATTATCACAATGGGCTCTAATTTATAGTGAATCGCGGGTCGGAAAATGGCGGGGGTGGAGGGCTGATCTGAAATAACAATAGGGGGAGGCGGATAAGGGGTGGGCCTTTTGCAGGATTTCTAAAACTCAAGATCAAGGGCTTTATATTAGGTTAATCTCTGTTAATAATTGCCGGTCAGCACCCACAAAATGAGAAGATGGGAAATAGGGCAAAAATTCTGGATCAACTCGATGTTGGGCGGGAAATCAGCGGAAATGGGTGCCGCCAAAAAGTATTTGGGTCGGGGCGAAGAAGAGATAGGAGTTCAAGGTACGAGGGAGGTATATCCGGATCAGAAAAAGACTCCGCAAAACAGCCCTCGGATCTCAACAACTTAACCCATAATCTCCGGCGGGCTGATAGTGTTTTAGGGACCAGATTACGGTAGTCTGTTTCAAAAAAACGCAAAAATTTCTGGGATGGGGCTGATCCGGCTTGGGCTGAGGTGTAGTAAGAGTGGCGGCGCGTTGAGGAAGCATTTCAAATAGGGGGTGGCCCTTTTGAGGGGTGTGAATTTTCTAACTCCTGGCGGAGCACGAGTGGTCGGGAGGCGAGGGGGAGAAGCACAAAGGGAGGCAGAGGTGGAAGGTACGCCAGGGGCATGTCAGTTAGTGCGTGCGCTTAGACAATGCGCCGCAAAAAAGGCGTATGATTTGTGACATTTCATTGGAAGGGTGTAGTCGTGAACTGAAATGGTGATGAGGAGGCGGTGGTGGCCGAGGGAAAAGCTGGACGCTGTCCCATCCCGGCACCGAGATCATCCTCCTCCTCCCCGTCTTTCCGGATCCGGCGCCATTTCGCGCGACGGTTTTGGAACCACGTCTTCACCTAAAATTTGAATAATTGATTTGACAAATTTGAAGAAGATTCTTACCCGCTAACCCTTTTTTACCTAGCAACCCAAGATTTAATTAAATTTTGTTGATTTCATACACATGGCGAATACGTCACCCTTTCCTCCCACTTCTACCTTTTTTGAAGAGGCTAAGGATCTTTGTCGCGCTTCGCAACAAAATTAGCACCTAGTTCAACGTTATTTATGTGCGAAAGGCCCCAAAACAGCTCACTGACGAGTGACTTGATGATGTCCAAGGGCACCTTTGTGAAAACAGACTTTTCAAAGCCTCCTTTCCTAATTGGGCAAAAGATTTGTCATTTCAGCCCTCCAGCATGGTTGACATCAATCAACCGGATGTACCTTTTGCGTCATTTCGTTAATCTCGGCGAACGGGTCGGGAGTATAAAAAAGTTTGTGGATCGGATGCAAATCCGTCATGCGTTATTTCCGACGCCTATTTCATGGCTAAACAAGCAACCTCTCATTTTGGGGACTCTATTCGTCGGTGCGTCGGGATTAGCGTTATTGAGCCGGGGCAAAAAATGAGAAGGGAAACGTCGTAATCTCCCAATGAGGCGGCTGAGGATTAATGTGTGTGTGAAAATATCAGGGCATTGTGGGGGGATCGTAGACAGTGGTATCTATTTTTCCGCCTATATTCATCTTTTCTGAGCATGTTGCGTAACCTCCCAAGAAGTCGGGGTGGGGGGACCAGAGCACAAGCCCGGGGGTGGGGGCTGGTGGAAGGACCGGTGTTTCACACGCGCTAATAGAATTTTTGATCAGCACCTGTCTTTCGGAGAGCGAGAGTGCCTTGGCCAGCTTCTTCCGCTCGCTGGGATTGAGGTATTTGTGGGCGTCAAATTTGTGCTCGAGGGCGTCGGTCTGCTCGTTGGTGAAGCGGATCTGACCGCCTTTGCGTTTCTGTTGACCGGACGTCTAGACGGAATTGAAATAGAAGGGTATTAAAGTTATCTTTGTGGCTTTAGAGTGCAGCTAAGGCCTCAGAGAACGAACAGTAGGTATTTCCGTAATAAACTATATCCTAGAATGAGAAGTTCCGCACAATTTTCGTAAAATTTTTTGCTTCAAATTGGGATTATCTGACAATTTTACCGTAGCCACAGGTTCGGAAAAGACTGAAGAAAACGGGTATGCCAGTTATTTCAAACCAAGAAAAAGAAAAACTTTGCAAGATAAAAGAATTTACAGTTTTTCAATCAAATACACTTAAAACATACCTTCTGCATGTATGGGTGAAAAATTGAAGACAATCGAAGCGGATCGAAGACGGCACTCGGCCCGGGTAGTGTGGCTGGAATATATAATCTTCAATACGGCAGCTTCCTATTGTCAAGTACTTCATGACCCCCAAGAGTAAACACCGATTATGCCTCATTCAAACAATCATCATCCACATCATCCCATACCTACGCTATAGACCCTGGTTCACGCGTTGCGCAATGTTTGCTTCCGGTTATGAGAATGGGTAATAATGGATTAGCAAGTCAAGGGATGCCAAGAAAGCCCTGGAACTACCCCATAATATGAAAATCAATTTTTAAAGGGCTGTATGAAAAATTTACAACCTCATTATCCGATTGGTGGCAGTCAATAGAATATTTTCTGCAGGCAAATTATCGGCGACTTTGCTAATTATTCTAAAGGAGGGGGCAATGGTCTGTCTATCAAATTAAGATCGAGGATAATACAGGGTGGTCCATAATTATTGTCGCGCCTTTTGGCCGGCTGTATCTAATCGGGGCCGTGTGCGATCGGCTAGTTAAGCGTATGCCTTATGCAGTTTTCTCTCCTCTATCCGATGGTAGGATAGGTTTCACGATCGTATTGAGATTTCGAGCTTATAGTACATAGTTTCTAGAGAACCTCCAAATTTCAGCTTAAAAATGGCTTTTGAGAGGCTCCGCTGGCGACAAAACAATTGTTTATTCACTAAACTTGCCTGACAATTGAAAGAACAAGCAAAACTCTGCTAGCAGAATTTCCAAACAAAAATTTTCGCATCTCCGTTTTTGAGCAAGCGCTATTCAAAGTTTCGGGGAACCCGGTGCGCCGCCCTCGGCCTACCCCGTATGTAAAACTGAGATCGTGGCTGCTAGAAAGCTGGGAAAACTGTAACAATTTTTTTGGGTATAGCTAAGGCTTCTTTTCAACTATTCCCAAATTTTAAGCGCAGAATTCCACAGGAAGTTCAAGAAAATCGAGATTTTTGTCTAGTGGCATGCGCCAGCCAATTTTAGTTCAAATCAAAGTCTGAAAAGTGACAGGAGCCTAGCTCAATATGACATTGGAAAGAAGACGTCAGGTAGCATAGTAATACCATATAAGATTGCCCCCGGGTAGCCCTAGGAAGAAATCAAACTTCGAAAACTAAAAAATGACGGGATGCCCCTGAATTTGCGGATTTTCGTCCAACATTGCGGAGGCCATAGCTCCTTCAAGCGACAAGCTGGCTAAATTTCCATTTGGGGAAATGCAGAACAATGCTGAAGCTACCATAAACTCGCTGGAAAAAACATCCTGACTCTCAATCGCTGGATTTAGAGCCCTTCTTCCCGAAATTCTGGCACGGCGCACCCCAACCTTTTGTCGCCCACTTTAGACAAATTATCTCTCTTAGAAACCATTATTCCAAAAAACTTTCTAAAGCAAAGTGGTTTCTAAGGCTTGTCTGAAGCTAGCCTACTTAATTAAATGGCTAAAATCGCTCCGTGGGAAAAGATATGACGCCTTGAAAAACGACAATACTTATGGACCACCCTGTATAGGCGTAAACAATCGAATTGAAAAATATATAAAACAACCATAAAACTGAGCATTTGTCCAAGATTCTAGAGATTCTTTTGAGCTGCAAAACACTCACTATTTACTAATCCCGGCATTCCTTGCCCAGGCATTAATGCGGTAAGCTGTGATAGTTGTTGCTGAGCCAGTGCCATATAATTCAGCCCGGAAATCCATTGTGGGTTGAAAGTCATGGGGACGGATTGTTGCTCGGAGCCGTCGGTCGAAGGAGAACCTTCTCTTGAGCTCGATTCTTCCTAAAATTAAATGATTCTAGGTGTAGAAAATTTTGTATCTGAATACAGCAGTTCTTGAGATACAATTTCAAAACATACCGCAATTCCATTATCCTCACGATCATCTGAAAAGCTGCTATCGCTCAGCTCCTTCCATTTTTCCGGTGTTCGTTTTTCCGAACTCGTCGGTTTAGCTTGTAATAATTGGGAGATCGAAAACATTTGTAAGTCAGATTGGGGTTAATGATGAGGGGGAAGTTGTGGTGGATGGATGGATGGATGGATGGGTGGATGACAGTGGGTCCTTAGGGGGGTAGCTTTGCGCGGTAAGGGCCCAAGGGGAGGGGCCACCTCCACCGTAGTCGTCCAATCGGGGACTAGATGATGGGGGAAGGGTCTCTTCCCCCAACACAGACACAGATTGACGGATCGGCTGAAGCACCCTTACCATACGGCCAAGCAACTCGATATTCTATCGGATCAACACTTGAAGTGATACTGATCTGGGCATCTGGGGAGCTAAACCGGGATAAGGATGAAGCCAACTAATAAGATGACATTAGTGACAGTTGGAGTGGCTTGTGAGCCTCTAAAAGCTCTTCTCCGCATACAGAAATTTGTAAGAAATGGTACTATTTAATATTAATTTAACTGCCAATTTGGCAAGCCAAATCCGAAAAACGCAGCCCAGCTTTTTGGCACTTTTGGCCTTAAAAAGCACATCGCACTTCAACTAGTTGCAAAAACGCTGTGCTTATGCAAATCAGATCTGCCCGTCGGCCCGTAAACGCGAAAACTTCATTACTTCCGGTTTTCAAGTTACTGCATGCAAGTCGTCAAAATTTGCATTTTTCCATGCTTTGGATTTGCAAAAAAACAGTCAATTTTGTATGCACCAATTTTCAGAATTAGATCCGGGACGAAATCTAAATTAAATCCTCAGATTTGAGCGTGAAAGCCACAATGTATAATCGTTGTGTAACATTATCTTCAATTTTATTTTGTATGGCAATGATGTCGGAACGCCGGGAGTTAGAAGCCGAATGACTATCCTGACCTTGGATGATGAAGTCGGGTTATCCGAATCCCCCACGTCATTCTCCCACAGCATTCCCAACTCAAAACCCGACCAGAAATACCTCTGAACCCTACGTGGCCGCCTCACTACCCAGCCCTATCATTTGTCAGCTCACCCCGCATACACCAGGAAAAAGCGTACGGTGTGCCGCGAACTCCCCCGGGGAGAAGCGCTGTAATTCCAGTTGTCGAGCGCAAAGTGTTTGCATTCCTTCCACAGCATCTTTTTGCCCTCGCCTCTCGCGAAGACGCGCAATGAGGGGATTGGAAGCCTCGCTTTGTTGATCGCGAATCACATTGGAAGCTATCGAGTGCCGACAATGTTATTTCAGCGCACCGTGGGTCCGGGGGTGGGTTACGGTAGTTAGGTGGGGAGGATGGATGGATGGGGGAGAGGTGTGTGCTGGTGGGGAATCGAGTGGAATTCGCTTGTTGAGTGGGCTACGATGTGTCTCTAATCCACTCTGGGGATGACATCGGTGCGAGGAGATAGTCAAGAATCTCGGATCGTTGAGTTGGGGCCTTGGAGGTTTGGGGTTATATCAGGTCGGAAGGTATATAAAATTGTGGATTGGTAACATACTTCATATTTTAGGTTAGGTTTTAAAATAAATATTTGTAATATTAGCATCGCGCGGCGCTGCTACCATCGCTTAACATAATTTTGTAGTTTTTGAACTGCCCTATCTTTGGTAATTCGTTTGGATAACGAGAATTTACTAGCGCTGATGCCTAGCCACAACGAAGTTTTGGAAACCTACAAAAACCCATGCCTCCTTTTTGAAATATCTAATCTGTATTTACCAATCCCCACCTAATCACCGTCGACATTCACGTGAGGGCAATAAGTCTACGTGTAGCCTCTTCACGCTTTTTCACCCTCAATAAATCCAACTTGGCCTCAACCTCCATCAACGTATCGCTTACCCAAATACCGCGACGAGCCCCCGATGCTGCCTTGATGTTCTCTCCGCCAATAGACAATCCCATTTGCCAGCTGATCCGCATAATTAGGACGGTCAACAGCAGCTTCGTCCCCTGGGTCCCACCCTCGGGGGGAAGACTCCAGTGCTGACAACCGTAATCCAATGCATACAGTGGCACTAGTGGGCCACACGATCTACACCCACCAATTAACGGATTGGGGATAGGGCAATGCGATCTTCCAGAGTCATCGATCATTGCTGTTTTTTGGCAAATAAGGAGGGGTGACGGGATGATGATTTGGTGAGAGTAAGGGGACAAAAATGAGTTTTCGTTGGATTTTCTCGGTAGGTTTTCTCCAAGCATTTGATGATAAAGATGTAATACAAGGGACGGATTCAAGTTGGATCATCTTTTCCTGTTAACGGAAAAGGTGACTAGATTGTTTTTTTTATTAATAACCAGCGCCCAAAACCCGCTTCGCGGGCCTTGGGCGCTGGAATGCGGCCTTTGCATGATAAATTAGACTTTCCGACAGCTCGGGTCCTGCGGACCCCCTCCCCACCACACGCGCGCGTGCAACTCGCAAGAATGAGGGAATTTCTTATTTTTCACATGATGCAAATTAGCCCTCCCGGACCCCAAAAATGAATAAAACCGGCTTTAACTTTGTAAGCTTGTATTTTATGAAAATTCTGAGAACGCCATCGGAAACAGAAGGGTCGATTTCCCCGGGTGACGGATAATTGGGGCATTTTGGACACGGGAAGGCCCTCAAATAGGGCCTCGAAAGTGACATCCACACACACACACAGATACACTCCAAAATTAGATATAATTTATTAATAAAAAGTTGCTGAGTGTCTGGATCGGAAAAATCTTAGGATCAGTATAGTGCGTAGTTAGGTGCTGGATTCACTATTAAAATTCCGTTTCTATAAAACCATCGTTATCCATGTTAGCCAGTCTCTAATGAAATTAACCGGAAGTGGGGTGGCGTATATAAGCAACACTTTGCTATTTTTTGGGATCAGAGTTCATTCAGAACTATGCAAAGTGAAGACGGGACCGAATCCAAGCTTGGTAATTTATTAATAAAATTTACACATCACGAAGCTACATCCTCTTCTGATTCCTCCAACCACCTCAAAACTTCTCCCTCCCATTATCCTGTAAGTGATACCCTCCCGCCCGGATTGAGCTTGTGTTTGGTGGTGTTGGTAGCGCGACGAGGCTGAATGCCTCCATTCGGGCGCATCTCCCTCCTTGGTTGGGCCAGGGATTGAGTTTCCGTAGCCATTATGTAACTGGGACCGCAAACAGGATGCCCAGTCCCATTCAATGCTACCAAGAAGGCAAATTAGGGGGTGCAAATGCGTCCGCGTAGGTCTGCTCTGGGTCCTATGGAATGGATTTAATGGAGTTATTGAAAAAGGAATAGAAATTTGGGATTGGCTTACGGTAGAGACGATTTTAAATCTTCGAACCCTAACAATAATCTTCTTGATGATCTTAGCTGACTAACAGCGACGTTTTTGAGTGTCCACAGGGTTTCGAAATCGGACCAAGCGTACCTTATGCAGAATGTTTTTCAATCTAATAAGTGCGTTTCAGAATTTGTGACCAGATTGAAAAAGTTATGCTTTAAAGGGGGTCAGGATGGCCCGTGTAGAGCAGTACGCAACCCCCTTTAGGGAGCGATAACTGCTCGAAATCAGCCAAGTTCATAGCCTAAAATATCATTATTGTGTTAATCTGGTCTCAAATTCTAAAAAAATCAATTGAATCATGAAGAGTTTCTGCATATAGTGGCTTGGACCCATTCCGAAATTCTGTGAACACTAAAAAGCGTCTCCTTGCAAGTACGACTGTAGCTTATAGCATCTCTTGGGCTGTCAATGCCTTTACTAACAATACCATAATCGATTGTTTACCCCCAGGTCAACGATCTGTCCCCCAATGATTACCAACACTTGTCATGTTTTGTCGGCATCTAACAGCTCGATAAACCAGCGACAAAGGCCGAAGTTTGCTGTGCAATTAGGATCACCACAAGCATCAACGGAATGGGGGGGTGGAGGAGCAGAAGGAGGAGCCGAGCACATTGTGATTGTTTGTATCGGCATCGATGTCGCGATGAGTGTCCCTTGTCGGCCGATGCTTCCCCTGCTAATCTCGAGTGATCGGGCGTCCTATTGATCTTGGCGGCTATGTTAGCACGGTCACGGGAAGAGCCACCCCCTAGGGGGTACAACATACTATAAACGTAATTTGGAAAAGTGATAGGAGCGATAAATTAGGAGGTAATTAAAGAGAAACAGTGCAAAAAATCTAGGCTGCTCTAATCGCTTCGACCCCGGTATTCTTGGCTCCGGCTGGGACGAATTTCCTTAATTTTCGCCATAGTTATGTTCTTATTTCATGTGATTTTTCCATCTAATTTAACGATTTTAGTGCCTCTACCGAGGTTTAAAGAGAACTTTTGTCTCATAGGCGAATAAATATTTAAGAAATACATTAAGAGATTTTCGGGGAAAACGTACCGAGGCCGACTGCGACCTATAAAAGTAACCACTTTGAACGGTTCTTCCGGAAGCCGTCGAGATACATATGAAAAACGTCCTCGTGCTTTTATCACTATTCTCATTTCCGCTGTGTTGGTTATCAGACCGGAATTTTTCTTTCTAGAACTATACGACTGGAAAGCGGTGATGGAAGCTGCCTGAGAATCCACAGAAGCTTCAGTTTTTATGTATTTTTGTTAGTAAAGAAATTGATGGTGGGCAAAGGAGTCAATTTGTATAAATAAATCGATATCGATAAATATCTACGCATAATCGATACAAAACGCTGCCGCATCGATAGCTCAGGGCTACGCGCCGTATCGTAGACATTAGTGCTCGCACTAGGCCAACCGCACCAGTAATACCGCGGGCCATAAATTCAAATTCAATTTAAAGTTCGAACCCCCAAACAAGGACGACAAAGTCTAATTTGCACCGCGATCCAGCGGCCAGTCTGGTATAGACATTACGCGATGCAATCCCAATAATATGAATTCACTGCTGCTATTCAAATATCGACCAGTTATCAAGAATACACAAATGTTCTTTATGTTTTGACGCTATTGGAGCGCTTGTAACCTCAAGCTTCAGCTCGAGCCATAGCTTATTTTAAAAAGTAAATAAAGCTTAGCATGCGATTCACACACTGTAAGCGTATTCAATTCCCCCCTGATCGTCTACTTTTATAGAATTTCGGTCACAATCCGTAAGAATTCCATAACTTTATACTAACTACCGTCTGATGGTTAAACGCCTTTCCCTTCATAGTGCTGGCCAAAGCGTTACGCTATGTTTAGCCGGAGGGCTTTCGACCCGCAGCTGGGTATGGTAGGAAAACGAGACGAGAGACCTCATGGATGGTGAGGGGAGATAGAAAGCGAGAAGGCATGCCTAACGGGTTACTCACCTCTCAAGTGCAATGTTCGGCTATCAATGAACGCTTTTCCCTTAAGAAAGTCAATGAAGTGCTTTTTGTGGGGTCAGGCGGAAGTTACGAGCCGATCGATTGATTGACCGAACGGAGAGGCGAGGGGGGAACCATGAGAAAGATCCCGTTCACGCCTTGGCACCTTCCCAGCAAAATTTGAATTGAAAAATATAACTAAAAAAACCCAGTTCCTTCACTTGAAGAATACTGCGTCTTCCTTTATTTTCAAGGTGTACAAATGCAATCAATTACAGGGTATGAAAACTAGCGAAATGTGTCGATTCGCCGACTACTTTGCTATAATTAAATTTCCAAAAGAGCCAGGTACGCAAATTACGTATTTTGCAACCGGTGTTTTAGATGGCGACTCTCCGGTGCCGGAAGTTGAATTAAAATTTCCGCAACAAGATTGGGAAGATGTGCCGATGCCTGATCTGTTCTTAAAAGTACATATTATCCAATAAAAATAATAATTTTTCAGTTTGCAATGCTTCCTCAAGAAATGGCCAAGAAGAAGATCGTTTCTCCTCGATTCTACACCGTAATTTTCACAGCGGAATCTGGGATGCAAACGTTTGGATCATTTCTAGAGGTTTTTTGCTGCTATTGCCTTAGATATATTTGTTTCAGGTTCAATCAAGGCTATCTATAGAATCAGCAAATGAAGAAAGTACTTCTGCTATACAATTTGAAACGAAAACATTAGTATTAATGTCCAGACGACCGTGTCTTCAATTACACAAGGCATGAGACAGCCTATACAATAATAGTAAGAGTTTAGATTTTGTTAAATCGCATCTACGAGCGGATAAAATTAGGAGCAGCTGGCCAGGCAGAAAAATTGATTTCAGCATTAATAGGTAAATATTGCTCGAACTACCCATACAACTGATTTTACAGCTCCGTGCCCAAAGTGCCCAGAAATAGCGGATTTGGAAACTGCCATCGCGGATTGCATGAAATCGAACGTTCCGATCAGTGGAGAGACAGTCTATAGCCTCGTCAGTCAATTAGGTTTGCTGGATATGGGCTTTGGCGTGAGCTATGTAATTTAGGCAATATTCACAACCTTATTGTCTTGGTGCGAGCAGTCATCACAAGCACTCCATTCTTCTTCCTTTCCGATTCACCCGAACGGTTATGCGAAGCTATCAACGCCGTACTTTTCCTGATATTTCCATTTAAATATCGGTCAGTGATATGTGGGGTTGCATAACTAGAAATATTTAGGTTTCCAATTATATCCATGCTAGCAAAAGACCAACGTCACTATCTTGACGAGCTGGGATTGTACATTATTGGTGTTGTCCGCGGTCATGGAGCTTCAATTGATGAAGAAACAGTTAGTTTTAGATGGCGGTTACCAAAATCTCATTTAAGATTCGGGGGATCAAATTTGACCTTGACTACGGCGAGATATTCATACCACCGCATATTAAACTACCACCAGTCCCGGAACCTTTCAACCAACGATTGTTCAAAACCCTGGAAATTGTATGTAGTCTTTTAAACTGCTTAATATATATTCTGTTTTAGTCCATTTATCCGGAGAGATTTGCCTCTTACACCCCAAATGGAACAAACAGCTTTAAGGTACGAGATTTAGAACATTTGAAGTTAACATATTGCTTAGGACAAACTAGTCCGCGCCTCGATTATGCAATTCTTTGCTCGTCTCGTCCACTGCTACCAATACGGGACTCGCATTATTAGGATTAATGATGTTTACGAACAAGCCTATAACACTGCTGCTTTTATCGGACTCAGGTATGTAAACCATAACAATAGCATTTTTTATTAAGGAGATACAACACGAAAACGCAACAATTCTTCGAGGACTTTTTCTACCAAGAATTATTCTCGGAATTCGTGTTTTCGAGGGATCTTCTATGGAGGCAAAAAGATGTTTTTGATACGGTATACTATCTTCAGATAGGTAAAACGAATTTTTAAGGCCCTAGAAGGGATATCCGATAATGTCGTAGCAGATGAGAGTGAGGTGATCGAAGAAGAAATGAAAGCAATTACTCGCATTGCTGAAATATTGGCTGAAAATGTGAGCTACCTTATGCAAAGTTAAATGCCTAAACCGGAACTTCATGTAAAAAATGTTTAGGAAAAGGAAATCAGCACAATGTCAGCTTCCCGGCCCCCGAGCGTATCATCTGACGATGTTTTCGGGCTATCCCATCTAAATGGAGCCCTAATAAACCGTCTAATTGCAGCCAATATGGAAAAAGAAGAAACAGTAGACGCTGCTATTAAAGAGTAAGTTTCTAAGGGAAAGTGAGAATGAGTTTCAGGGAAATCGCAATGCCGCCCTACCCTATCAAGAAGGTGGAATGGGAAACACATGAAGAGGTCCAATTGGTTTTTAACCTGGTCGACAGCATTTTTGAGAATAAAATAGCGCAAGCGAGACGGGTAAAAACAAAAATAATTTTTTGATCATCGTTGTAGATATTAACTACGGATCAACACCCATTGAACAGTCTCAGCTCTCGGTTGGCCCTCTGTGTCCGAATGAAAACGGCCTTACAAAGCTCACGTGGGATCCTCTCCGCAGATCAGTTCGAATTAATCCGAGATCTGCTAAATTACGCACTAGAACAAGTAAGCAAAACATAGTAATTCATATTTATCTGTTCTTAGGAAGGAAAAGAAGATCGCTACGGGATAGCGTATTCAATAATGGAATTCGCGACTGTAATTTGCAAGGAGCTTGGAACCCAAGTTTTTCAATTTATGTACACGGCTATTCAAGTCAGTTCAGTTTTTAAAACAAGTAAAATAAAAAATTTAGGCTCATCCGGTCTGGGCCAATCGTGATTTTTGGCGATTCGCTTTTTACACGGACGTCCAAAAGCGGTTATACGATATTTACGTGGCGCCTGGATTGAATGCTATCGATAAAGACCAGGTTTTTTTTTTGCTTAAAAATGGTAAATTCGAAAATTTTCAGAATCCGTTCGACCTATGGGATACAGACAAAGGGGTGGCAGTGCTGAAATTTGTTTCCGAGTTGCAGAAGAAAGTAGGCTACCCGGGAATCGATTTGTAGGTGGTTTTAGAAAGAAGCTGGAGGAAGCGAAACCGAGGCAAATGTCAACTGGAGTGACATGGAAGAAAATATCATCTATGGATTGGCGAAGCACTACACGAACCTCATTGTAAAACAATAGCCCGAGCAATTCAAATGTTATTTTTAGCTTTGCCTTCGAGTTCCTTTGGATCCTGAAGCTTCCCCATTCTATGATGAAGATGACACACGACGTGAAGAACCGGCATCGTGAGTTCATCATACCTAAATCACTTAAACATACATAATTAGGTGGATTTGGAAAATCATCGATTCAATCCGTGCCTCAACAAAAATCGATCATTTCATGACAGATCTAAGTAGGAAGGCCATACTTCTTCAAATTTTTTTAAGAAAAAGAAATTACCATGTGGGGTGAAGGACATCGCGAGCAATTGGATCAGGTCCATGCTACTTCTATGTATATGCTTCCACCAAAGGTTGGAAAATTCCTTAAACCCTAGAAATCTACTTTTAGCCTGCATTACCCCCAATGCCGCCGATGTACTCCAAAGAAGTCCTGAAATCAGACATCTATCGAGCATTCCTTGTTGCTAGAGATGAAGAAACACCAGGTGAACCGACTGTCACATTTAAAGACTTCATAATTTCAGAACTTCCAGCTGAAGGAGCATTCTTTATCACGAACTATCGAGTTATCTTCGTTGGAGCCCCAAGAGACCCGCTTTGTATGACAGTATTTTTAGCTCACATCCAGTTTTAGTAACCGATACCCCCCTCCAACTCGATCTTCCCCTGATGTCATTGGCAAAGGTCAAAACCATCCCGGAGAAAGAATTAAAGGGATGGCAGAACAGAGGATTACCGGCTAAGGTAAAGATCAAACATTTAATGATTTTTAAAGAATGTTTCAGATGGCGGAAGACGCTATAGTAATTTATTCAACAATATTTAAAGGCGGTATATTTTCGTTTGATGAGGAGGTAAAATGAAACGTATTCTTTGATTTTATATTTTAAGTACTCTCACGAAAATATGGAAAATTTAAAAGATCGCTTAGTGGCTCTGCGCTGGCAACAACCGTATCCGGAGGTATATTTCCTAAGAGAAGCCCAATCGAAAAATACTTTTAGTCCCTTTACCCATACTCTACAACTAAAAGTACCACTCTCACTTTACAAACAAAAAAATATCAAACCCTGCGACAGATGAAGAAAACAATCGGAAAATTTCCAATCTCGAAAAGTAAGTTATTACAGTAAATTTATAGAAATAGACTTTTTAGTGCGAACTCTTGGACTACTCCCCCAGCATGCTCCTGGAAAAAGTTATTCAACTCTACCGCCAAATCTGAATCTATCAATCACAGCTCCGAATGGGCCACTTGATGAGGAGTATGATAGGCTGAATTTTGATCATATAGAAGCCGCCACGAAGATTTCGACTATAAACCATTGTTTCCGCTTGGCAGAGAGGTAATACAACGCAAAGCTCCATTAACCAGCTATATTTTCAGCTACCCTCGTTCTCTAGTACTTCCAAAAACCGTAGACGACGATGTTCTTGGCGAAGTGGCCAAAGGATTCCGATCCTCAAGGCTACCGGTGGTCACCTGGACTAACGGAAATGATGCATTTCTTTTGCGTGGTGCCTCATTCTCAGCGAACGTCTTGAAAAAGATCAAGATGCAGGTAAGAAACCCAGATCTGACAATCAAATCCGACAGGCAAAGGCTATCAATCGCGGGAAACAGCTTGGTGAGATTGGAGCCGATGAGAAGCTGAGGTTGGAGACAAGGGAAGCCAGTGGTTCGAATGTGACAATTTTGAGATCGAGCGCCGAATATCAGGTCTAAAAGCGTTATCCGATGTGAAATCGGGTTTTCAGGCTGCTTATTTCGTTCGGCTTGCTGCAATTGCTAATCGAGGGCTAGACCGGCTAGATACTTCCATGTTTTCGGGATTGTTGAGCGATGCGAGCGCAATTAATTCGAATGCCACAACACCGTCGCTTGCTCGGAAATATAATGCGGATTCGATTTCAATACCGGCTAGTACAAGCAGCAAAGAAAATGAATGTAAGTTCATTCAAATAAGATCAGGCGAAGATTCCTTTAGCCGGCCAATTTCAACAGCACGAACGTCGCCCTAGCGCATCAATCCTTCGAGTCCCATTCACCCGCCAGCATACTTTAAGCATGCTTAAAAAGAACCAACTATTCATTTTGGGAGAGCCAGGCCAAGAAAAGGTAAAGCTCTTTTCCAGTTCCATTAAACTTTCTTTAGTCCCTAAAATGGGGTGAGAACATCCAATTCATACCCATCACCTATCCATCATCCAAGAGATTGAAAAGCGTCTTCAAGAAGCTGCTGAAAACGTATTTGGCTCCTGAGCTAGGGCTTGTCGAAGATGGTAGCGGATTTGCTGCGAAGACAGCTTGGTTGCATGAGGTAACTGAAGCTTGAACGCCACCAAAAATAAATTTAGGTATCGGCATTTCTGGCGTTGGCAATTGAAATCTATTCACTGGTTGATCTTGCAAATGTATCAGTTGCATTTTGCTTGGAAGAAGGGAGGGATGCCACTTCTGTGATTTCTTCGTTGGCACAGTTGATTTTGGATCCATATTACCGTACGCTTGAGGGCTTTAAGGTACTTTATTAGCATAAAACACCCCATCAATATTCTTTCTAGGCCCTTATAGAAAAAGAATGGATCCAATTTGGACACCGTTTTTCGCATCGTGCGAATCACACGCCGGATTCGCAGGTAAATAATTTTTCGCCATATGGCCACTATTTTTATCGAATTTGGATCAACTAATTGATTGATTTTCTTTTGTAGAGTAATGGCGTCGCCCCGTATTTCCTAATATTCCTTGAATGCTGCCACCAAATCCACCGCCAAGCTCCAAAGTCTTGCCAATTCAACAATTTCTACCTCAAATTCTTGGCCTATCATTCCCAGGTAGGAAAAAATTATCGAACCAAGCCAATAAAAATAGGCTGCTTACTACCGGAATTTCTTACTTGACAGTGAGGCTGATAGAGCGAAGATTCAAATTGTTGATCCAGACGATGAAGCAAATATTTGGACGGCTATTGAGGTACAGTCGTTTTCATAATCATTAACTATAAATTTCAGAATTCTGATCAATCATTATTTTCAAATCCACTCTACAAAGAATCTGCTGAGTTACCAATGCTCTCATGGCTTCCGAATAACCTCACGATTTGGAGCTTTTTCACGGAGAAGTTTCTTTCTGATCGCCATCCTTATGACCCGGGTTTGTCTAAAATCCAGCAAGTTAATTGGTTTGTATAGAATTCCAAGAACACGGGACAAACGGTACAAACAGCGATACAGTGATTTCGGAGCAATCAAAGGTTGATTCCGAAGAAAATCCACGCCATCGGGCAGATTATTTGCTAGAGAACAGTCGTTTGTTATTAGCCTGTGCCCATCAGAAGCACCAATCCAGGTTTGTCATTCGGCATTGTAACTCTAGAAATACCAATTTAGCATGTCCCGAAATCCAAGCATGGACTCATTGGATCAGACCGACAAAACAGATTCGAATTGCGGGAAGAGCATTTATGGCGACAACCCGGACATCGTCTATGCGGTATTAAAATTTAGCTCCTAGTAGTATCTGTAAATTTAGGGATATCTTCAAAAGAAGGGAGCTAGGATGAAGCTTTGGAGTCCACGATACTTTGTAGTTTACAAATCGCTGAAAGCGGTATGGTTTAAATTTTATCAACTTATTGAAAGATTTAAGCTTCGATACCACGAAGAAGCTAATATGATAAGTGAGGGAACCTATTTTGATCTGCGAGGGGTGGACGTTCAACTACGAAGAGTTGCAGATAAGAGCGTGATTACGGTACTAAACATTATCCCAATAAACAAGCCATACTTTAGCTAAACACCGAAAAGAAAAACATGCAACTCCTTGCTCCAACAGCTGACGAAGCCGCTTTATTTATTCAAAAACTAAAAGAGCTTGTCGCTTAATGATTTGCGTGTATTTTTTGCCTTTAATTCAATTGCCTTTAGGAGTTTCATTTATGTACCTATTTTATTGATTACTAAGCCAATGGTGCTATTTCATCGAGCTTTCTTCACTTTCCAAATGATCTGAAATACGTGCCATTTGATGCCTTTTGGATGACATTCCAGGGGGAAGCATACAATTTCTTTGCCTTGACCACAATAATTCATACGAGCTTTTACTTCTGGCTGGCCCATTTTCGATACGATGTGATTTTTCTAGTCCGCTTTGAATTCGTTGCTCAACTCGTAATAGAATGCTCCACTTAATAAATTTTAGGTTTGAAAAAGGGGAGTTGTGAAAACAATGTCAGATCGGGTTGAATAGAATTGATAGTAGTCATTTTCGGAAGAAGGGGCAATCAGTTGGGTATTCATTGGGAAGTGAGGGGGGTTATTCTTGTGGTTACGATAAAGAAATAGGGGGATAAAGTGTGTGGGGCGGAAAACAACAGACAGTTATAGGGTGAATTCGCAAAATTGGAATATTTGGCAATAGGAATATTTTGGATGCCGATTTTCAAGAAAACCGTGGATCTTCGTGGCCTGTTTTTTTGGGTAGGTAGGAGAATATGACTTATCGGTACTATGTGCCTACTGTAGCTTCCAACTTCTAGAAAACTACAAAAATACCCCGGCGTCTAAACTCTTGCCTTTAAACCCAAGCCCAAAACCCCCGTATCGCCCAATTTATTAACTCGCTCCAGATTGTGGGGCACCCATAGAACTCGCTTAGAATATGAGAGAAGAAGCTCCAGATGGACAATGCGCCCGTTGCCACGATGGCTTGAGAAGAAGAAGAAGAAGAAGAAGAAGAAGGGGTGGGCCCTCTAGGATGCGAGGCGATATTGGGGGGTGTGAGGGTCCTAATTCGGCGTGTCATATCCCATTGTGCCCTGAAGGACCCTTCTTCGCTAGGCCCTTATTGGCCCTGATAGGCCCCCCACGCATCCACCACATACGGGGCGAGCCGCTGGACAACCCTGCTAGGGCCCACACAATCGAGTTGATTTCTTGTTATATTGCTTTGATGTATTCTTCATTCTAGGTTTTTATTTATTGACGGCGGTTGTTCTTCTGAATTCAGTAACTGGCGTTGCAAGGTGCCAAAAAGCGCCCCTCTAGCGGCCCGGAGAAGTGTCCGACTTTCCACAGAATTTAAGTCATTTTTCATATCTATCGAAATTTCACGAACCAAATCCTGAAAAGTTGTTAATTGGTGCAAATTCGACACGCGGATGACAGGTTTCCAATTTTCTAAGTTTTTCAGTAATTCATTGACTGGAATGCCCTAGTTTTACAGTGATAATTTTATGTTGATCCTTTGAAGTCCCAGGCACACGCCGACCCGACCTCAATATTGATACTCAACTGTATACGTTATTACTTTTATCAGTTTTCATACTCCAGATACCCATTTTTCCTCCAACCCCTCAAACCCGAATCCCCCTCCTTCCATCCCCCCTTTCAAAATTACTCAAGAATATGAGCCGACCCTGAATGCACTTGCGTAAGAAACCGCTCCGGAGTGGTATGAAGATATTCTTCACAACAATTTGCGAGCCCCTAAGAGAGGATATAGCAAGGAAGGGGGCAGCTAGGCTCCTCTTCCCCCATCCAACCTAACCCTCAGCCCCTTCCCTTTATTGAATGCGATATGCGCAATAATGGGACCTCGGATTCGATGCTCCAGAAGAAGGGAGGGAGAGCGCAAATAATGAATGTGGAGGTGCCCCGATTCTTCTGAAGGCCTAAACCCTTATTATCGAGGGGAGAAGAGGGGGGCAACTTACCCCGGTCTGGGGGGTTGTGGCTTTGATTTGAGGAAGAAAGGAGGACGGAAAATGTCGACTTCAAAGCGGTGCAAAGCCGGCGCCGGGGGGTCAAGATTTCAAAGGGGGGAGGCGAATGGCAACAGTTTTTTTGGGGGGTGGGGTGTGCAGCTGGCGTGTTGCTTTTGGTTTTCTGGATTGTGTGAAAGGGTCGTTGTCTGCTGGGGTCATTTGGAGGGGTACGGTAGGAGGTGTTGCCTTGGCAACGGAATAGCCCTGAAATTAAGCCGTGGTACGGTACCTTGGTTTGAGTATGCTCGATTGACGGCTTATTTTTCTGGCATTGATTAAAGATTTATTGAATTCTTACGCTGGAATATTCTTGACAAACCAGTTTTTAATCTTTCCTGAGTTATCTATATTGTTGGCTGAGTAGTTTTAATCCCAACAAATTTTATTGGGTTTAAGGGCGATTCCGGTTTGGTTGGTTTTAAGGGTGCAGTATGGAAATGATGCTAATTTAAACGCATTTTAATCCCAACCATCTTTCCCGAGCAGTTCATTATTTAAATTTGGGCCTACTACCCTAGCACACTCCGAACAAACTTACAAATCTGATTTTCTATATTTAATTTTGTAAATTTCATGGGTTTTAACGTTGATTTAATATATTACAATACTAAATACGTAAATCCTGAAGATGAAGACCAAACTGAGATGTATGTCGCCTTCCCGATTCACGATTCAAAAACCTCAACCTCACCCCCATCTCACTCCCTATTCTTCCCTGAACTCCATTCAAATCCAAATCCACCTTGTCCACTACCGTAGCTCTCGCCCGTGAATAGACTGACAAAATGGGCTCGTTGTGGGCCACTTACCGGCCCCTTTCTCCCCCGACAATGGCACCAATCCAGATCCTTCTACCTCCTGCCGCACACTTTCCCCCGAGCCCCAACGCGCGAGCCAATGCCTTAGAAATCCACTTGACGCGCGCAGCAAAACTTCTGAAGGATATGGACAAAAAAGGATGGGGGGGCGCTTCGAACACAGAGCATCGCCCTAGAGCAATAGCCGAGGGGGTAAGGGCGCGTGGCACGGATGGGGCTAGGGATGCCGGCTTTCGCCTCAGCTTCTTCCAAAGCCTTTGTCCGGCATCCCCCTCCAAGAGCTCACTTACAGTTTTCTCCTGTGCCGCGCCATTGGGGGAAAATCCACAACAGTTCCTTCCCTCTACAACAGCCCCCTTCCCCCCCCTCCCTTTTAGGGTGGCGATTGTTTGGTCAGCAAAGTGTGTCAATGTCTATATTCGTCGAAAAGGAGTTTTTTTCTTGGTAGGAGTTCGGGTTCACTTTTAGATTTTTCTAAATAACTTGTATTTCATCTGTATTGTTTCTTTTTGAAAGCCTAGCTCGATGTCGCTTAATTTTTGAACTCTTAATTTACCTTCTGCTGAGACAGAGCCATTTTCTACAGTAACCCTCATGTGGTCAGGACTGTAGCTTCACCCTTTCTAGCCATTGCCATCCCTTACACGTTTCATTTTTTGCCACAACGTGCACTTTTCCAGAAGATCCTTGTCGCCGGGGTCACATTCAAATTACCTTACGCAGCTGCATTTCCGGATAAAGGCCAACTGAAAGCTATCGCAACTTTTTTTTGGGGTTTGGATCGCTGGCCCTGCACACTCAGCCAATGAGGAGATGCAAAGTGCAGGGGGCAGGGTTACGGTGGGTCATCGATGGGGTGTTTTTGGTTCGAATCTGGTTGCGGGTTTGATAAATGTTAGGTAATCCCTAAATACCGTTGTAATAACTTATTTTATCCCATTTCAACATCTACAGATTGCCTATCTGCTTCAAAGTAGCAGGTGTCAATCTGCTTGAAAATCACATTTTTTGCTGTAAAATAAAAAAATGCGAATCTTTTAACAATTTCCCCGTTACCTGGGCGGAACACGCGGACACACACGGATTTCGGCCGGGGTCAATGGCGGATGCATCGACCTTCGTGGGGCCACCGTTTTCTCTCGGACAATGGCTCGGCTCCCATCCGGCCAGATAGCATCACAGCCCGCTCCTCCCCCCATCCAACCCATTACTGTCCTTTACTCGATCCCTCTCAAATAAAAAAACTTGCTGCGCCCCCACCGTCCCAACCCCATCGGGCTGCTCTCCTCTTTTTAGAACTAGTACACCTGAAGATGGGGTGGTTTTAAAGGGTATGGATCGATAGTGGGATCTGGTATAGATCCGAGGATGCTAATGACCATCACAAAACAGGGCTTGGATTTCGAATGGTCGCTCGAGCTCAGCCACATGCAGTGCCATAAATTTTAGGTGAATCGGAGTCCTTTCGGCGGGTCGATTAATCCGAGGTGGTGTCTCACTGTAATTGGGATTGTTCGAAACAGGGATTGCGATTTCGTCCTGGTTTACAATGTAGTTGTAAAAACATAATTTCTGGGATTTATTTTAAATAGGTTAGAGTACTACGGTAATTCCAACAAATCCTAGCCAAAGGGAGAGCCAGCCAGAAATATGTTTTTCCACTCTATGAAATTCCCAAGACTAACAGCTGATTTGTCGACCCAACCACTATCCCGAGTAACAAGTCAGCCGCGCGGATCCCATTTTTGTTCGCCCAAAAAATGAAAAAGCGAAAGAAAAGGAGGGGGAGGTGGACAGGAAGGCTTTGACGGAGCCGATATCCCGGCTGAGGGGTAAGGCCGTCTGCAACGGGGCAAGCACCATTGAATCCATTTGATTTTATGGCGCATTGTACCCGGCCCCCGCTTCCTAGAAATGTTCCACAATACCCTGTCCACCATGACAGCCACCAGCTAGATCTGCGGTTCTATCGTTCGATTCTGGGACAAGGGGCGTGGATTTAAGAGTTTTTGATCGATATACGGGCGTTGATGCTCAAAACTGGCATAAGCTATGGGCGCGTATAAGGTGCATCAATTCTTTGTATAGTATGATTTTTCGATTTCCCTTGATTTTTATAGAACAGGGCGCTTATGATGTTATTCTATTATAATTTTTGCTTAATTTTTTTTATTATTTTAATTATTTTGCGGCTTTTCGCTCCCCAAGCTTTTTCAGATAAATTAAACCATGCTGTTCATTGCTGATTATCGCTTTATCTTGTAGGGTTATTTTTGTTTTCGGTCTCTTAGGCTTTAAG